GAGGCCTTTGTTGTGGTCTTGGGATGGATCCTCTCTGAAGTATGTCTCTGATTTACTTTGGACCTCAGGTTAATATTAATATGGTCATTGGGTGGCTGAGTTTCTGGTTTGCAAAGTCGTGACTTCACACGATAAATGATGAGTTACAGCAAGAGAGTTCGAGAAGCAGAAACATGAGCGGTTATACTGACATTACTGGTATAGCATGTTACAAATGGAGAAGGAACTTTCATGTGGCTAGAGAGGTAACTTTTCAATAAGGAAAAATGGCTTCAAAGTTCGCACCGCTTCTCACCATTTTTGTTCACCATAGCATAGACAACTTCATTCTATTAAGATATACGATCAAGATCCATTATTTTGGAATTCGAGGATATCCATACGTTACAAATCAATAACACAGTATCGATCTTCATCGAGAATAACGAAACCGAAACCGAAGCTGTACGGGGAAAGCAGACGATCTGGGCAGTCAACACATACCAATCCTTTTGAAGTATCACAGGAACTGGAACAAATTTCTCACCTGAACTGTATCCACCAGAGTTATTTTGGAATTCATTAGTCTTACCTAATTTCCTCTTCCAAATCTTCACTATTGCATCAGTCATACAGTGAATTATTCATCTACTGGTCATTAGACGTTTAACGAGGAGAGGCGCCTAATTCACCCCAGTCAACCTCCCTCATTTGGAATCACGCTTCTACCAAGAAAAACACAGTCACGGAGGACGAACCAGATATTAAACATCGCTCTTCGAATTCTTCAGTGGATCAACGAATGACCATAACTGCTAATCTTATTGTGAATCCGAAACAAAGCATTATTCGTCGTTGTTCTTTGTTTCAACTTCTTGATTCTCAAAATAATTTGTTTGGTTAATACTCGTGGTACTTGTGAGTTGCATGTTTTCTTTGTGTATTGTTGTATTAAGTATACGTTCTCGCCAAATTGCTCATTCCTCCCCTCCTTTCTTTCTCCCCGGTGCCAATATCAAAAATTATTCACTTTACATTTCTCTTTTTCTCTATTGTCATTACAATAGTATAATTAATTTCTCGCTTCTGACATCTTCGGGAATCAACAATAGAAACAATAGAGCAAGGTTCTCTATTGTGACTCCTTAATACACTCATTAATTATTCACAATATCCCTTCTTCATCACAACCTTAAGTTCTGTAGTCGAGTCGACTTTGGTACTGCCTACAACACATTCAGTCCCTTCCAAGAGGCTTTTAACTTTCTTTTCAATATTTCAAACTTTCCTTTCACTCAAGATCAACTCAACCATCAGCTTGCAGAAATTGCAAAGACCACACTGCATCACTGCAAACCCCCATCACGCAATTTTACCCTGGAGATAATTCGATACAAGATATATTGCTAAGATGGATGCTTTTAGAGGCTACATAGCTTCTCAGAAGATCCAACATTCTCACGCCCCCTCAAACGATTCTTCCATCGACAGCGGCCACGAGATGCACCCTTACGGTGTCCATCGAAATGTAAATGCCACACCTGCCGATGACTACTATACACCATACCTCGGTCTTCGAGCCCGCTTATCACAGACATGGATCAACAGATGGACCATTCTCTTACTACTTATCATCGTGCGGCTTTTAATTTCTTTGGCCGGCATCAAGGGAGATATCGCATCAGCTAAGACCGAAGCATTATCAGCTTGTAGTAGTGTTGAGAATGTCGGAAGTGCAATGGCTTCTATGCCCCATTATCTCTCCCAAGGTGTGAACAGTATGGCCGCTGCTGGTATTACAAAAGCTGTTAATGGTATGATGCAAATGCTTTACATGAGTCTCACTGGCGTCGAAGAGATCGTTCTCTTCGTCATTCATATGATGACCTCAACATATATGTGTCTCATCACCTTGGCTATCACCGGGAGTCTTCAAGTCGCCATACAAATGATCGAAGATGTTGGAGCTTTCATGAATAAGTCTATCGAGGCCATCACCGGCGACTTGTCATCTGGACTCAAATCATTCGAAGATGATCTCAATGGCTTCTTGTCAAAGATCAACATCGGTGGCATCTTTGGAAGTAGTACCTCACCGCCATCAATCGACTTGAGTAGTGAGATCAGCAAACTCAATTCCATTCAAATTGATCCTACAACCATGGATGCCGATCTCGCCAAACTCAACGCATCCCTTCCTACATTCGACCAAGTCCAAAACTTCACGGACAACATCATCAAACTTCCATTCGAAGAGGTAAAGAAACTCGTGAATGAATCAATGATCGCTTACAAGTTCGATGATTCCGTCTTTCCAGTTCCTCAAAAGAAAGCACTGACATTTTGCTCCGACAACACCGCCATTCAAGACTTTTTTGTCGGTCTCGTCAAGACCCTCGATACCGCCAAGAAAATTATGCTCATCGTTCTCATCATCGCTGCAATCCTCGTTTGTATTCCCATGGCCTACCGCGAAATTTGGGGTTGGCGCAGTATGCAAAGACGAGCCGCTTTACTCAAAAGTCGAAACTATACTAATGAGTTGGATATTCTCTATCAAGCCCATCGTCCCTATACCTCACAATTCGGTCTCAAGCTTTCAAGGAGGTTCAAGAGCCAAAAGAATCAAATCTTGGCAAGATGGTTCATCGCATATGCTACATCTATCCCAGCACTTTTTGTTTTGGCTCTGGGGTTGGCAGGACTTTTTACCTGTCTGTGTCAATACATCATCTTAAAAACCCTCGAAAAAGAAATCCCGGCGCTCGCAGCCGAAGTTGGAGACTTTGCAGAACATGTCGTCAAAGCATTGAATAACGCATCGGAATCTTGGACTTTAGGGGCCAATTCTGTCATCAATAATACGAACACGGAAATCAACCACAATGTTTTTGGATGGGTTAATACGACAACAGGAGCTATCAACGAGACCTTGAATGTTTTCACTGATGAGATGACCAATGCTCTTAATGTCACATTTGGTGGTACTATCCTCTACAAACCTATTATGGGTGTCTTTGAATGTTTAGTCGGACTCAAAATTGCGGGTATCGAAAAGGGTCTTACATGGGTTAGTGATCACGCTCATGTAGAATTCCCCGAATTCCAACCAGACGTCTTTTCACTCGGTGCAGCTGCCTCTCTCTCAAATTCAACCGCAGACGACAATTTCCTCGCCAACCCTGCTACGAGCACCACAGATGAAATTACAAACGCAGTAGTGAAGGTGGGAAAGAAATTAGAAGCTGTTATAAGACAAGAGGCTCTCATTTCTACCTCGCTTGTTATTGTCTATTTCATCATCGTTTTTGTCGGATTAGTCCGTGTGATAATTGGCATGTGTGGAAGAGATAAATCGCGCGCGGAAGGTGGTTCAGCACCGAATACACTTTATCGCAATAACGATGTCGAAGCTCCTCATCATCACTTGCCGGAGATCTCACAGGAGAAATTCGGTACCAGCGGAAACGACGGTTGGCATCAGGAACACATGAGAGCAGGTGGAGATCCGATAACACGAATGCCATTTGGAGGAGGTGATGGTGCTTCAGATGATCTTCCGTATAATGGTGCCCCGGCGCCCAAATACGAAGCTTCGATTGCGCCGAGAGAGCGATTGGGAGTGGTTCCTGCAGGAAGAGTTAACATGAATCGGGGACCGTGGGTCAGAGATGAGAAGACTCAAGAATTGTGGGAGGCGGATGATGTGCAGAGGAGAGCGACGAGTAGTTATGGACATTTGGAAGGGGAGGATGAGAAATCATCTGGATGGGGAGTTCCGCCGAGAAGAATTTGAAAGCTGGATCTTTCTTTTGAGAGGGGTGCGAAATGACTTTATGATTGATGGATCGACAGATAGATATGGATATTACATACATACGTACATACGTACATGCGTACGTACTTAGGCATAGCATGGTATAGCATAGCATAGCATAGCATAGCGTATGGATTTAGTGGACATGCATTAGAGACAAAGAACGGGTTGAATCAAAGGAAAGGAAAGGAAAGGAAAGGAAGGCATGGCGAATTGATATGTTTAGAGATTTGTAAAGAGTAATTTTAATTTCCTATGGTTTTAACATATCCATCCCCAAGTGTATGTACGTCTATCGAGAAATCCTTTTGTGATGCTACATTTCCGAGAAACGCCGGGAAGTAATCAGATACGATACGGTACGGTATATATTATTTCACTCATCTCATTTTTCTATCCTTATTGACTTTTGTGTATACCTAGTCAAGAAAAACGTCTTCCCTCCTAGAACATGATATAGATCGTGATTAGCCGATAGCCAAACCAAAATTCGAACCGAGTACTGACTGTACTGGTATAGTGAAGTTTTTTTCAGATCACTCAAAGGGTATATATATATATATTCCACGGACCTGGAGAGATTGAATTTGAAATCGTCTCGAGTTCCTGTTCTTATTTATGCATTTACTACTGCTCGATATTCATTCATTCATGCATGCATGCTAAATGCGGAAAAAATATACGGTCTTTATGTACAATTGCCATGATCACAACTCATGTCGAGCGGGTGGTTTAGATGACGAGCAGAGAAAAACAGATAATCCCTCCCATCCTATCAATGGAATGTATCCATCGCGTAATTAATTACTTCCTCCTTGTCACAAAAACATTGAACGAGATGGAAAAGATAAATCATGAACATGAGATTCCGCGTACATTTCTATAAAAGTTGATGATTGACTCTAAAATACATAAATGAAATGGTATCACTATCTAATAATAATCTAAGTAAAATTTAAAATGTAGTATCTATAATGAACAAGAATATGCGTCTACCGTGGTAAATGTTCCTGAGCTCCTTCGTTGCCACCATCCCATCTTCAAAACTCCTAAAAAGGTAAAAACAAATGCAAAGTCTTCCTTTACCCAAACCAAAATTGTATATCCAAGAGGAAAAAAAGACATAATTTTCATAATGTATCGAGACTGTCCGTCGACCCATGAACCTATCGACCCATCTACCCATGAACAACCATCCATTCTCTCAGTCCCTCGTAAACACCTTTCCAGTCTCCAATTCAATGTCACTTCCAGCACTCACTCTCTTTAATTGTTCCATTCCTTCGTGCTTACTTCTAAATTTAAAGTTTGCTTCCAACCACGCCCCTTTCATCGCAATTCCAGGATGCAATATCGTAAGGGCCGCAACCGCAATAGTAATCATCACAGGTTCCAAAATCATGTATTCAACCTCATGGCCGATGAAAAGAGGCCCATTGAAGCCACCCGATAGTTCTATACACCTGTAGATGGAACGAATAAGGATTGTGACTGTCGCGAGGAAAAGTCCGCCGAGGAAAGATTTGAAGAGAGTGGAAGAAACGAGTTCGTAGTAGCGAGCATTCCAATGTCCATCTGCGCAGCGAACTCTCCATGCGAATTCAGCGCAGAGGATAGCGAAGAGGACGAGAGAAAAGACTTGGAAAGCGAGACCTGCTAACATGATATTTTTGCCCAAATCTTTGTCGTCGAGTGTATCGGCAGTTGAAGCAATGGCGCCACCAGCGGCTTGGAGCACGAGGGAGATAATATCGCAGGTACAGAAGATGATGGTATATGTTCCCGGTCTGAAGCGAGAGATTTCTTTGCCGTAAACAATAACGATTCGAGATAGACAAAGGTAAATTCCTGCGGTGAGGAAAGCAGGGGCAATAGTTAGGGTTATGAGATACATTAGGAAGTAATCGTTGTTGAAAGGATAGATATTAATGAGAACTCTGGCGATATAACCCATAATTTCGAGAAGCTGGTAGACGAGAAAGTTAGTCTAGTGATCTTAAACTTCGTTTGTATTTATGTAGACTCCTGTTTAAACTGTTGGAAGGAAGTTGACAAGTGTAGAACATACCAATCCAAGAATGATGCCAAGCGTATATCCCCATGTTTTGTACTTAATCCCTAGAGCCACTTGTGCAATGCAGAATACCCCGAATAAACCGGCGAATAGGGCATTTCCAACCACCGTCGGCCGATACTCGAAACTCGACAAGGAAAGATCACAAGTGGTAAGTGTACACAACTCTGGGTTCTTGATTAAAGTCGCATTGCCGTAACCACCACCAATTCCATCGGAGTGAGTTAAATTTGACATTTTGGTATTGGTTGTGAAGCGAGGGCTAAGGAGGGGAAAGGAGGGGAGGGAAGCAATAAAAGTTACTTTAAGTTGAAGAAACAACGAGAATGAAAGAGAGGAGAATGTTTGGAACAATGACTGCAGCTTAACTATCTCAACTTGAACGGCTTCCAAATGCCTTTAATACTTCCAACACCAGGCAGTGCAATAGTGGAGGAAATGTAATTGTCGGCATCGCGGACAATTGCGAGTGCGACGTATACGACAACAACACGGTCATGCCAATAATATCGACAAGTATGATTATGTCAGCTATGAGGTAAGCAAACTGATGACTGTGATTGGTTCCATCGTAGAAGTGAACAAGACTATTCGACTTAGCCCTTCCAGATCCAATTTTTAAGGTTAAATCCTTCTTGAACCCATTTCATTCATTCATGTCAAAGAAGATAGATAGATCGTTCGTACATGTTATTGGTAGGGATCATCTACAGCAAGGCTGAAACTGATGCAGTTGAAGCAAGATTCGGAACAAAAACGACATGAAGCGCCATCAGGAACGATGATGAAATTGGTACAAAAATAGCACTGTCATTGATTGCTATGCTCTCCTGAAGACTTCTCCCAAGCCTTCTCTGAAGTTTCAGAAAGACCTGAGGTACCTAAATCTAGAACGTAAGAATCTAATTTTCGGATGAACAGCACTTGCTTTTTGTTTTGCCATCTGGCTTGGCCTTATCATTGATAAGCCACTCGTAACTGGACATCAAGTCCAATGGATCTAGACAATTTAATGCAGCAGATTCTCAAATTGAAACGTCTCTCCTGCCTCTCTGTCAAATAAAACCAAGTCTAGGAGCCAAGAGAATCAACCATGCATTCGCATGCCATGCATATTGACGGATACGCATACCTGCATTGACGGTGGGTTGTCTCCTCATCTCTTGTGTGACCCATCTGAAATGGACGGTGGGAGATTTCAACGAAATATCAATTGGAGTCAGACTTGGAGTCAGACTTGGAATGGTAAGAACAACAAACTCCGAGACACGCATAGGACGATGCACATCAAGTCGAGTTTAAATTGAGGTATGGTTGGTCGCTAGAGATAGGTGAAAGAGAAGTGAATCGGCCACCGTCGACAGGCGTATACAGTTTTGGCTGGCTGAGACGATAATCATGATTGACCCGACCTGTGGTGGAAGTTTTGCAATATCGACGATGGCGACCTGGTAACACGATGAACTACCAACACTCTGGTCGGCCACCTCGACGGAGCACCATCTAATCAATTGGGATAACGCAAGCTCCCACCCACTGGAAACTAGGTCCCGATACGTGTTTGCTACCAATCATGACCTTCAGGTTCCCAGTGATTTCTTGTCGAGGCACCGAGCTAGGAAAAAAAGAGTTGTGCAGTGTGATAAGTCCCAAAAGGAGAAGAGGAGGAAGGACGATATATATTATGATTGTTATCATCAAACTTGTACCGAAATGTTGTGCAATGAATGCAATGGGATAAAATATGGAAAGAGCTTTCTGGTCAACAATACCTGAGTTAAAGACTAAGAAATGTACGGCACCTCGCTTTATGCAGCTTCATACAACTTATTATATAGCTTCATCTTCCTACAGCAATGACAATGATGCAACGAAGCATTGAAGGCAGTGAAGTGGCAAACCTTAAATACTTTCGAGGCATTTTAAAAGGGTTCAACATTCAAGCATATCTAGCACGTGCCTGGGGTATAAGCTTTCAAGCATTCACCGACTTCACCGACTTCACCGGCTATCCCAACACACCATTAATGCAACAACATGATTGAGACAGGTGCGTCGTGCTGCTACATAACCCAGGCATTTTCTTCAATTTTTGGAATCACTAGTGGGTGCACGAACTCACGGGACACTTAAGAAGAAAGCACAATTTCACACTACAATTTATCAATTTCAAAATTCAATTAAAATTCAATAATGTATTAAATATTCTTCAAATTAATATCTTAATATAATATATTCAAAGAGAAATTGATAAAACTTGAAACTTGAATTCAAAAAGCTTAATATTATATTTCTTATTAGAAATTTCGATGAGAGATTATGTATTTAATTATAAAAGTTTTCTTTTTTCTTTTTTTTTTAATTCAACTTTTATACTATATAGAATTCTTATATTTATGAATTAAATATTTTAATTTCAAATGGATTTATAGAAGAAACGAATTATAATTGAATTATCAAAATCAATCTTTTTGATATAGGATTGTACTTTACTTACAAACTATTCCGTGAAGTCCGTCACCCACTGATGGATTTTTGAAAATGCTGACTAAGAAATGATTGTTCCACAAGGTGCCAAGAATTTTCATGTGAAAAGTGGGACTTACACCTACTTCCCCCCAATGAGAAAATGAGAAAATGCTGAATGCTTATCGCACGTGACGACAATCAACTGTTACTGACGAATGAGAATCTAGTGGTCCGATCTCGCTCGTCACAACAGGTGAAGTGTGAAAATTGGAAAACCTTTTATGCATCAAATATGTATTCTTATGTATCTGCATAACCCTAAATTCACCAACAAAAAAGAAAAAGAAGAGCGTAAGAGCGTCAGTCAAGAGTCAGAGTCAGAGTCATACCTCATTCGAAAGATTTTCCTTGGAAAGCATAAATACCTTCTGCTACATGAGAAATTTTCGGTCTTCTCTCTCCCGCTTGAATCAATTCACTTTGTTAACATATCAATTGAGCATTACCAACCTTGGTTTTTCATCTACATATAGTCCTTCGATTGTCTAACCATATTCTACCCATCTTAAGAAGAAGAATTCAATTCCTTTGAGCATCAAGCAAACACAATTCCACACTTTTTCTCTTTCTTCTCCATCCCCCAACGCCAACCAACAACCCAAAACTTTTCAATACCTTCACAATGTGTCCTTCCTGTGAGCCAGAGCAGGCTTTAGAAACTATTGCCGCTCATGCTAATGGCAATGGCACCACTTCCAATGGATCAAACGGTAGTGCGCTCACCTCTCAGTCTCTCAGGTCGATACCAACACTAACTCATCAATTCTAGCTCACCCAGGATACACAGCCATTGAGACCAAGAAGAACCCACATCCAGCCAAGAGAGATAACCCATATCAACCGGTCGGCGATTTCCTCAGCAATATCTCAAGTTTCAAGATCATCGAAAGTACTTTGAGAGAAGGTGAACAATTCGCCAATGCTTTCTTTGATACCGAGAAGAAGATTGAAATTGCCAAGGCTTTGGATGATTTCGGTGTTGACTACGTGAGTCAATTGTCCTTTGTAGGGTTCTATGAGGTATATTATACTAATACAAAGCTCGCAGATCGAATTAACTTCACCAGCTGCTTCGGAACAATCAAGAGCTGATTGTGAAGCTATTTGCAAGTTGGGATTGAAGGCTAAGGTTGGTACCAGTCTCCGCACACGGAAATTCATACTAACTCTCATAGATCCTTACTCATATCAGATGTCATATGGATGATGCAAGAATCGCAGTACAGACTGGTGTTGATGGAGTGTAAGTTTAATTATTCCCCCCGCAGAATTATCACCTCTAACATGTCTCAGTGATGTCGTTATCGGTACCTCGTCTTATCTTATGGAACATTCCCATGGAAAGGATATGACCTACATCAAGAACACCGCAATTGAAGTTATCGAATTCGTCAAGTCACACGGCATCGAAATTAGATTCTCTTCCGAAGATTCTTTCCGATCAAACCTCGTCGATCTCCTTTCAATTTACTCCACTGTTGACAAGATTGGTGTTAACCGTGTTGGTATTGCTGATACCGTTGGATGCGCTTCACCAAGACAAGTTTACGATTTGATCAGAACCCTTCGTGGTGTCGTTAGCTGTGATATCGAAACACATTTCCACAATGATACTGGTTGCGCCATCGCAAACGCATACTGCGCTTTGGAAGCTGGTGCTACTCACATCGATACCTCCGTTTTGGGTATTGGTGAGAGGAACGGTATTACCCCTCTCGGTGGATTGATGGCTCGTATGATTGTCGCGGACCGTGAATATGTCATGGGCAAGTACAAACTCCACAAGCTCAAGGATATTGAAGATTTGGTCGCACAAGCTGTCGAAGTTAACATTCCTTTCAACAACTACATCACTGGTTTCAGTGCTTTCACTCACAAGGCTGGTATTCATGCCAAGGCTATCCTCAACAACCCATCTACCTACGAAATCATCAACCCAGCCGATTTCGGTATGACCAGATACGTTCACTTCGCATCTAGACTTACTGGATGGAACGCTATCAAGTCTCGTGCCAACCAATTGAACATCGAGATGTCTGATGAACAATACAAGGAGTGTACCGCGAAGATCAAGGCCCTTGCCGACATTCGATCCATCGCAGTTGATGATGCGGATTCAATCATTCGTGCTTTCCACAGACAAACCAAGACTGGTAAGGCTGTTGAGCTTTTGCCAAACATGACTGAAGAGGAGAAGGTTTTGTTGGCCAAGAAGGAAGCTGAGATTGCTGGTGTTCCTGAGAAGCGCAAGTTGGATGAGGTTGCTGAAAGTCAATCTAAGAAGGCTAGAAATGACGTTTCCGCATAAATGAAGAGAGGATGAGATGATATCTAATTTGAACCACATCTAGTCTGTTAGGGGGTAGCTGAATTCTTCCCAGACAAGATGGATCTAAAGGAAAGTAGTTGAAATCTTCCTAGATCTTGGTCCAAAGATGATTGAAATCTCACTCATGGATATTTCATTTATCGAAACGAAATGGCGGGCTGAAAAGTTGCTTGTGCTATTTGATATTTCTTTCCGTTTTTTAAGTTGATGATTTGGACGGCCTTTGAAAAGATTTCGCGGGATACACATTTTTGCGAGCTTTGCTCTGTGTTGGATGGATATGCCATTGTAGTATTACATCATGCAGTTGGTATGTATTGAGGAAGACACAGATTGCTTTCTTCGATAGTCGGCGGACATACAATTCAATGGAATTACAGAAATCTTGAAGGGCTTTTTTGATTGACATGACATGGTGATTGTTTTTACGTGATCTGATGTGAAGTGCAAAGTCCAGTAAATGGCTGAAAGATCAAATCTTGAGATCATCTTTGTGTTGCGCGTTCAACGGGCTAAGAACCATTTTCTTCAAATTCAAGTGCAATAAAAATTATTGTCGACTCTATCAAGTCTTGAAAGATTTCATCGAAAAACTAATCCACTCATACATTCATTCATTGGTTTCACTGAATGGCCACGCTAAAATACCGCCCAACCTGTTTCATCATATCATAGCAAATCTTCACGTCCGCAGCGTCTAGTTCTTCCATCCTCACAAATCACTCTCCTTTTGATTTGACATCAACCCTCCAGCCTCTACAGGATAGCAACGACACCCAAAACCGCACCCATCAATCCTCCCACCATCTGAACGCCCATGGTAGGCGCCGCGTTTGTTGTCACCGAAGCGGGTGAACTTGCAGATGCAGAAGCAGATGCAGAAGCCGAGCTTAAAGCTGAAGAGATCGCTGCACTAGCCGAGCTAGAAGCCGAAGAAACAACGGAACTAACTGAGCTCGCTGCCGAAGAAACCGCCGAACTAATTGCTCCACCCGGATTCGACGATGTCAATGGCGAACCCGTGGCGCTTGCCGTCGACGATACGCTCGTATTGGTGAGGATACTCACCACGCCACCTGGATTACTCGAGCTCAATGCACTTCCTGTCGCGCTTGCATCTGCTGTTGTGGAACTTGCGAGGCCGCCGGGATTCGACGATGCGAGGGCTTGCGTGGTGACGCTTCCGGTGACGGCGGTGGCCGAGGCGCTGAATGCGGAGCAGAGTGCGAAACCGACGCTGGCGGCGGAGGCGAGCTCGGCCACGTCACAGGCTGAGATCAGACAGGGGGTTACGGCGGTTTGGATCGCGGCTTGGGCGGTGCCGCATTGGCAGGATTGGTCGGTGGCGTCGCAGCCGGCGACGGAGATGGCGCTTTGGAGGCAGGAGACCTGGGGGTGGGGGAGAGGGTTAGTGGGGGAGGGGTGTGGATGGAGGGGAGGGGAAAAGTGTCGAGGGGGAAGCGAAAGGAAAGAAGATAGAAGAGATGGAGAGTGTGGATGGAGAGGAAAGAAGATAAGATAGATGGAGAGTGATGAGTATGAGTTGAGAGGGGAAAGAGTGCGAAAGGAGAGGAAAGAAGATAACATAGATTAAGAGTGGTGAGTATAAATCGAGAGGAAGAAGAAATACCCAAGAAAACTTACAGCACAAGCCGGTTCAGCACCGAAATTCTGTGCCGATACGGCGATCAAGGTACCGGCGATGGAGAAAGAGGTTGAGAACTTCATTTTGATGATGATCTTATTATTGTATTGAGATTTCGAGAATTCTTTTGGTGATCTTGCAATGTATTTGGTACTTCGTGATGGATTTGTTTATCTTGATGTCATGAATTGCACCTTCTAAGATTATTCGTTGGATTAAAAGTCAATCAATCAATCAATCACTCACTCACTTGATCAAAAAGCAGTAAATGAATCAATAGATTTATTTAAATAAAAAAAACGAAAACGATAACCACCAAAACAAAAACAAAAACAGAAATGGAATTGTATTGAAAACAATAGCATCAGAGTCCAGATAGGAACCTTTTAAACTCTCCCCCGAATACAAAAAGCTACCCTAGCACGCCTAGCTGTGCGGGGAAATGTGATATGATGATCAGGTCAGGGAAGAGAGCTGCACTTGTTCCGTCATATCATATCATCATCATATCACGCAAGTTTTATATATAGAATAGTAGATTGTTTTGGTTGATGGTTGGATGGAATAGGAAGCTGGAAGCTGGAAGCATGGATTGGGTTTGGGGGGGAGGGGGAGGTTAAGGGTCTGGTTATTGTGATTTGTGATTAGGTAGTAGGGTAGGTAGGTAGCTTGAGGGGTTTTTAGGAAGGTTTGATAGGTTAACTTAGAAAGGTTATTTTACTCAAGGGGGTTGCTTGGGAGGACTGTGCGATGGGAAGCCGGAACATAGCTCGAGTAGGTAAGTCATGATTCATTTGGGTAGTTGGAAAAAGCCATGAGAATTTAGGATTCTCTTGATGGGATAGATGGATGAATGGATGGATGGATGGATGGATGGATTCGTTGCTACTGCAATCACGATTTGAGGTACGAGGAGGTACGAGGAGGTACGATGTCTTTCTTGATTTTGATATCCATTCCGTTCCACTCGTGAACCAGCGACTTCGTTAACACACGGTAGGTAACATCCAGTACGGTATATCAATGTCCCGCTACGGCCTACAGATTCCAATCCCTACCCATTTAGGTATTTATTTATCTCACTGCCAGACCCATCATGATTATCATCATTCATCCCTCCAGTAACCTTATCAACCACGCAATGTCTGCATCCATACCCTTCCTCTACCCCCTACACATCATATCACATCTCTCTCTCCTTCTAACCTTCCTCTCTTGAAATGGCTCCTTTGGAAATCGAAGAAAATCCCAAAACTTAAAAATTGCACCTCCTCAAGAAGGTAATTCGAACCAGCTATCTTGGCACCGTCTGTGATTTACACGTGGCGTTGTTAGGGGTGCGCCCAGCCATCTTTTGGCGTTGGCCAAATTTACTTGGTACGATGTGCACCATACGTTGTGTTGCTGGGGGAATATGATGGTGAGTGAGTGAGTGTTTGTGATGATGATGGATCCTACTCTGTGGATATAAATCAGCGTTAAACATCAAGGTGATTTGGATACATATGCATGAATAGAATAAGTTGTCGTGAGATTTATAGATTACAATGTCTCAATTCGATTCAATCCTCCAAAAACACCATATAATTCCATCATCTCTGAACGTCCAATGGGTGCTCAGATAGATATCAATTCAGACCAGACTGTTGAACGCATCTGCAATCTAAGAAAAGACTCGGCTAGAACATCACCACCGCTATGAGGCGGTCAGTACATACAGTAGTGCGGGTGAGATTTTGTTCATCCTATCTATCTATCTATCTGTCTGTCTATCTATCTAAATTCATAAATGCAATTAACTAATAAGTCACCGCTTCCATTAAAACTATTTTATTTTTGTGAGAGTAGTACTCTTCCTAATATCAGTCAGTCACAGTTAGTATTGCTCTGCATCATCATGTGATATTTCCAGAAAGCACAGCCTCTCTCAAGAAAATCTGACTTCTTGACGTCGTAAGTAGATGTTGTTGGTGATTTCTAATTACCCAGCTTCATTCCGTCTTGACAACTAGCTCTATTTATATCTCTATCTCTGGCGTTCACTCTCGCTTCTCAAATATCATTGTGTTCTTCCTTGATAAAAGTTTTCCATCCTTTGATTCTGAAGTTCCACTAAACGTTCTTTTGATTCCTCTTCTTCCATAAATTCATTCCCATCATGCTTAATTGAAGGAATAGGTATATTTGGATCTAACTAACACCATCTCTCCCAATTTAATAGTATCTTACTTTCCCTGTACCAATATCTATTCTTGACGAACAAATCTTCCACTCAATCTCGAAAGGAAGAATATGGATATCGGGACCAATCATCCTCTCATCCCCTCCCCCAACATATAAACACGCCCCCCTCCTTCCTCCAACGCTCCAAACACCCACTCCCCCTCCTCGAAATCCACAGTGCCATTGACAAAATCCACCCAACACTCTCCATCCACACAGCTCACCTACACCCCCCCTCCCTCAATACCAAAACCCCTCATATCTCCCCAGAAATCTCATTCTTATCCTTCCCGCAACCTCAAAACCATTCTCGTCTCATATCTCATGTCTTCATAAGCACCGATACATATATACATATATACATATATTAGCTACCCATGATTTCCCTCTATATCTTCTAACTCTATCAAAGAAAGTAATGAACTCATATACTCCCACCCCATAAAATTATCCGTGATGTAATTTTACATCAAAAATTGTTCGTAAGAGGCCCATCGGGATATTGGGTCCCAAAGTGAGAGTGTGTGGGATTCTAAGTTTGGTTGTAGTGATTGATGTGTTGCTATGCGGTGCGGTGCTGGATTTTTGCTTCGGAGTTTTAAGGCACCGTGGGGATGCTAGGTAATTTGTATTGGGATGGTAGTGTGGTGAAGTTGTATTGAGGATGGTAGGGAGGGGTTTGAACTTTGGGGTGCGCAGTTTTGGGGGTTGGGGTTGGGGTTTTGGATATGATGGGGATGGTTGGTGTGATTTATGGGTTGGTTGTTCTCGTTATTTCGTTTGTGGAAGAGGAGAGAGAGATGGAGAGAGGCATTTATGTTTTATCCAATGTACGCGACAACGTGGTGTCTTGAAGAGAAGATCGAAAGTCCGAAGGTGTGGATAAGGATTCCTTTTAAATCCTCCAATTCTCAGCTACCGACTGGTTTGATGTTGCAAGAAATTATCGGTGAATATCCTAAAGTAGAGTTTCTATCTTCACTTCGATTCATTCTGTCTACTTGTCTATATTTCTCCTCTCGATTCAAGACAAGACGATTACCTCCAGAAGATTTACACGCTCCAATTGAGCAACTGATCGAACTTACGTGAGAGCTGGGTAAAATGTCTAGTGAAATGTAAGATTCGTCGTTTGGAAACTTCTTTTCTGGAATCGTCGCTTCATGCGTCGAGGTTTTTATAGCAAAGTTTTCGCTGCCATAAGACATATATAAATAGCATACTTTCGGTAACAATATCCAAGAGCTAATACCTCTTCCCTCCTTTCGTTTTTGTAGCTAATCTAGATACACATAAAAATCGGCTAGAGATTAGTGACGTGCGTTCCCCGATATATGGTCTGGCATTTATCTCTTTGATCATGTATATCATAGAGCCTTGTAAAAACCAGACGAATAATTGAAAAATCTTGCCGATGAGGAAACTTTATTAGTGACGGAGCTATATAAACTAATAAATTGACAAACCTTCATGAATGCTTGTTTATGATAACGATATTACCACTTTCCTAGCAGAAACACCTTTCCTCTGTACTTCTATTCCCTTTTCTACAGATTCCAATGCTTTCCCAACAACCACAGCCTCAGGAGCGGCAACAAAAACACCTTTCTCCAACGCTGCCGGGAGAAAATCCCCCAAAATTGCCATGCCTAGTCATTCGTTGCCACAGATGAGCCTTCAACGAATACGTTATCAATTCTTCTGACCATCTTCTTGATTTGGTTGGAAACCATCCAAGGAACCAGTGTACATATAATTTTCGGAAGTATGAATCTTTTGGGTGGTGGAAATGGTACGGGGTAAGTCATCATAGAAAGGAACTTCCTCCCTTGACATTTATTGAGGATATCCATGCATGCATCAGCAGCTCCTCATCCTATTGATACCGCGCCAGCGGTAGTCTTGCTTTTAAATGCATTTATGATATCAGGAATGGCGGTCTTGCTATTGTAATCAAAGAATTGCCTTGCACCAAGTTTCTTCAAAAGGTTGAAGTTTCTAGGAGATGAGGTGGAGATGACCGCGTAACCAGCTGCGACGGCTAACCTGGGGGTTGTTGTTAACATGAGATCATTGAGGGATTTAAGGGAGTAACAAATCCAGAACAGACACTTACTGTATAGCGTTAACGCCAACACTGGTTGAACCACCCCAAATAAGCACAGTTTCTCCCGCCGGCTCTGGGGATAAATATGGCAGTTCGAGCGCCAGCTGGTCCTTTTGGAAAAGTCCGGCAGCTGCGGTAGCAAGTGCCAAAGGTATCACACAAGCTTGCTCATAAGATAGTGTATGAGGAATATGCAAAGTCATGTTATCCAAAAGGATAGTATAGAGTTGGAAACCACTTTGCGTGAGGACATTGGATGATTCCGTAAGACCCATTGCCATACCTGCAACACGATCTCCAACCTTAAACCGTGTAACTTCGGGGCCAATCGCAACCACTTCTCCCGAAGCATCATATCCAAGAATGCATGGATATTCCACCCGCGGAAACATAAAACTGCCCATGTCTGGCTTGATCCAATCTACCGGATTCACGGCGACAGCTCCATTCTTTACAAGAATTTCATTCTTCAAAGGTAGAGTATAAGGCGCAGGTCTAACCTCTAGCCTGCTAGAGAGATCCAACCATAATGCGGAATTTTAGGGAGACATGCTAGTGGGATGTCTGAGCGAGGCGAGGACTTGGAGTTTTCGGATGCAATAGATGTCAATTTTGACGGAGATGATTGGTATGAATCTGTGATTGAATACCTAGTATTAAGAGCTGATTGACCTGAGGAATAGATGTGCTAAGAACTAATTGCCCATCCTCAAAACGAGCATACAATGAAAGATACTTATACCCATTTCTTCCTATTGCTGCGGACTTCCAACCATCGACATGAGTGGAAAATTCCATTCCATTTTGTCCGATTCTTCACCCAAATTACAACTTCTGTGTAAAATCCTTCAGACACCGTTGCCAGATGATGTTATCATTCTATCAAAATGCGAGATGAAGTTAGTATGTTGAGAATGCGAGAGCTAAATTCGAAGCACGTGTGGGGAGACGTTCTTAGAGCTTTAGTGGAACCGAATTGAGGGTTAACGACACTATGATTTTATTGGTTCAATGACGAAAATCACTAAGCGTAGAATGGCAAATGTGAATGAAGGTTAGCGTCCTGAGTTATCCGAAGCTTACCAGGTATTTGTTTATCCGACTCCGAAGAATGCACATGGGAGACTGGGGAAAATGAGAGAGAATCCACCTTTTACTTCAAGATCTTGTTGTACCTTGTTGAGCTTCTTCATATGTTGTGCAGATCTGGAATTTATCGAATATTATTGAAATGCCATGTCGGTCATAGAATACTATAATGGCTTGCCTGGTGGGCGACTGACCTAATATGAACCTTTACCCCTTTCATTCCCTTGTCAAGATACCATCTCGCAGAATGTCCATATGCAGAATATCGTGAACAGCCCATGCTCCTTCTTCTCTTTCTAGATCTTACACTGTCGTTTGAGTCATGCAATAGAGTCTCTATCTTTTCAGACCTTAACCTTACGTTCGATAAATCTTCAATTATCTAGAGCCATGACAATCCCCTTCTCGATCTCCGGAAAATCTACCCACCGAAAGATAAGACCGCATAAGAAATCACGTCGCGGATGTGGAAACTGTAAGTTGAGATAAGTCAAGGCATGTCCAAGTTCTTATCCCACTTCAAAGGAATATGTTTAACTGGTCGCCTGCAGTGTGATGAGGATAAACCAAAGTGTAAAAGGTGTGCAGAATTCAATGTTCCCTGCAATTACGACAACCAAACTTCAGCACTTCAACTACTTGAGAAGTCTTTTACCTTCGAGACTCTTCGGCACAGACTTCCTTATTCATTAAGCCAAACAGTCCCAAGCTTTATTAGTTCGCGGCTGAAGACTCCCGGAAAGATTGATGTATACGATTTGAGCGACCAAGAACATCTGGAGTTGTTGAATAAGTTTCAAACGAGAACTGTTTATTCTATAACAACGAGTAGAAATCTTCAAATATATCAAAACGAGTTCATCAAGCTATCATGTCTGGTATGTTGAAACATAAAATTTCCACTGATCTTCTTCTGACTCACTACAGCATCCATACTTGATGCACGCTCTACTAACATTTACGCTAATGCATGACCGACACATTTCTATTGAGCACAGTATAAAAATGTCTTCTCGGGAAACTTTTCATTGATGTCAGAGTGTATCATTATTTAGCAGAAAATTGGCATCCGGATCAATTGAATCCTCGTTAGAACGCGATGCTTTATGGGCAACTTCCGTTCTTCTTAATATAATCACATTTTGCAACATCGAAGCAGAGAGTCCAGAAGAAGCTTGGCCTTTAAAACCACCTTCGTCTCTAGATCTGAATTGGTTAACGATGAGCTATGGGAAGTCTGAAATTTGGAAAATGGGTCTGGACCAAAATGCGAGCGCATTTAAGACATTGATGGCACCGTCTTTTGAAACTCTATCACCATTCTCACACATTCGTCTTGAGACTTTGCCCAAGCTTTCGGCACACTTCTGAATTTGTATCTAAGTTCCAAGTCACATGATAACCCCTATCATCTTGCGGCATCTTTACTGTCGGACATTATCCATCTTGATGATCTCATTGCCGTAATTCTGAAGTTTTGGACCTTTGTCAGCAGTATGCATCCTCAGTACAAAAGATTTCTCTTAGAAAAAGAACCTCGCGCTCTCTTATTGCAAGCCTATTGGCGTGGGAAAGTTTGTCAATTTCCACATTGGTGGATTTGGAGGCGTGTATCACTGGAGTGTCAGGCTATCTACGTATATTTGGAATTTTTTTACAAACATGAATTGGATATTCAGACACTTCTAGTCTACCCAAAGATGATCTCTGGGCTGACTTCTCACTGAATACCGAGTTGAGGTGGCTTCACTAATCTATTTTTAGAGATTTTGGGAGTCATCCTGACTATGTTTGTAACGCATAACCGATATCCCTACATCTTGTACAACCTTACATCTTGTACAATCTTTTTAACCTTAAAAAATATCAATTACGAAACTTATATTTAGTCTTATATTAGTTATGGAAGATTGTATACAATAAATAATAATTCAAATTAAAGCTGAAGAGAAGCTTAATATAATTATTATTATGAAAATCCATAATGTTAATTATTTTATACTATATCGACAATATAAAGGGTAAATAGCTCCTTATATTTCTATCTATAAAGATATTTATTAATACCTTAATAAAAAGTAAGAAAAGGGTTTAATTAATTAGATAAATAAATTAACTTAAAGATCTATATCTTTTATAAGCTATATAATTAAAAATCTAGTAGAAAAGATTATAGACTAATTTATAAGAAAGAATTGAACAATTCACTTTATCAAAAGGTATATAATACATTTTAAAAGTTGGTATTTCTAATATATTAATAATTTATATATTAAAGTTGATAATATTGGTTATTTTAAATACTTTTATAATTTAGTTAATACTATTTTCGATTTGTTGTTGATTTTTATTATATAAAAGCTTTTGCTAATCCCTTTTATTTATTTATTTAATTGATAAAAGTAATCACAAAATACAATATATTACCGAAAAATATATATAATTGAGATGAAAAGGATTTTATAATTAAACTGATACATTTTATAAAAAGGATAATAAATGCTAATACCTATAAAAGAGACAAAATAACGAAAGTCATATAAGACAAATCTTAAGAGTTTATTAGCTTTTTAATATACATCTCTGTCGACAACATAGCCATACCATCTACTCTACTATATAAAGGGGAGTCGGGGGATCTTCAAGATATATAGGTTGATGAAGTAGAGGAGAGAGATAAAGCTTATTTCGGAGCTTCAAACAATGAATAATTATTTAATACTTTTGACCTGACATAATTTCAAAAAGTATTTCAACATTATATATACCTAAAAGCAGATAAAGGATATCGTCTACTTATTATAGATAATTATTCTAATCATATGAATATAGAGTTTATATCGAAATACAATAAATTGAAGATAATATTATTAATTCTACTATTACATTCTATATATTGACTTCAACCTCTTGATTACAGCTTTTTCCTTCCACTTTTAACGAATTATAGTATAATATTGAATAATTTATTATACAAAAATAAGGAATTATCTGAAATTATAAAACGAAACTTCTGAATTATATTCAAAAAAGTTTGAATTCAAATTTATATAATATATAATATACTCTCTTCCTTCGAAAAAACAAGTATTTATTTTATATATAAAGGAGCTATTATTACTAATATTACATCTAAATCTCCCCTTACACCATCTACATCAATACAACTATATAGAAGTAAATTTAAGATCCTATATAATGCGAAAGCTTTTTATAAGCTTAAATTAAAGTTTCAGCATTAAAATAACCCTGATATTACTTTGAAGCTTTTTAAGGTCATTTTTATTAATATAATTTAAGCTAATATTCAATCGTATAAAGCAAAAAGATTAGGAGAAATTATGAAAATGGAAAAGAAGAAAAGGAGTCAATTTAAAAGGTTAAACCTAATAGGAGAGGAAGTAAATGAGGTATATTTATACTCTCTTAATACTATTTTAAGAGTTAAGACATACCAATCCATTAAAGAGCTTACTATACAACAGGACAAGAAAACTAAGAAGCTAAAGAAAGCTGAAAAGAAAGCCGAAAAGTAGAAAAAGTATTTAAAGATATAAGAGAGAGCTAAACAGAGGGAGGTTAATTATTAAATTCTATAGGGTTTTAAAGAGTATAGTAAAAAAGCTTTTAAAGTATTAAATTCATCTACTAAGAAGATTAAAAGCACTTCAAAACTTTCTCCTATATTAAATCTAATGTTTCAAAAAGCTATAAAGCTTTTAGATAATAGAGAAGTTAATATTTCAATAAATAAGAGGGAGGGGGTGGAAATTAGAACTAGAAGTAGGCGAGCGATTACAATATTAATAAAATTTAAAACCTAATGATTTTATAATTCTATATGAAAATATTATACTATATTATAAACATTTAAAAGTTTTAATCTATTATCTTATAAATTTTAATTATTATTAAATATTAAAGTTATAATAGTAGTGAATTTAAGGTTGTGCAAGATGTGGGGTTGTGCAAGATGTAGGGATATCGGTTAGATGTCAATGGTCATGTGCTATCACCTACACTATTAAATAATATATACTTCAATCACCACGAAAGCATTTCTTCAACTTCACTGTCTTTCCTATCGCGGTTGTATTTTTACTTCCTCCAACAACTTCTGCCATTTCCCTGTACACGATATAATTTCCATGTCGGGGCACATCCGAAGCCACTCGATTTCGAATCCTGTTGTTCTTCTCGATTTACTTGCATAGTACCTAGCAAGACTTCATGGATATTTTGTTTCTAGGGGAAAATTGCTATATCGGACATTCTTTTGCCCAAAATTTTGAGATTGAATATCGACCAAGTATCTCCGATTCTCAATTTTATGTCGATAGCTACTTCATAACGGCGAAGCACAAAACTACAAGGAGAAAGAGTATTCCAGAGCGGTCTTATTGAACATCGAATTCCGTCCCCTTCTAGCCATTTCCTTTCGATTCATAAAATCGGTCGTCAATAATTCGGAACAGATTCACTTGTCCTTATTTCCCGTGCGCTTTTCAAGATGAAGGCCGATATCTTTTATCTTCGCTAAGTGTAAGGGGGTCAAAATCAATTTCTTCGGGCAATACCTCTGTCGCTTTTCTTCTCGAGGCACCTTGTTCTCTTTCTCCTGTTTTTGGTTCTCTCTGAAGTTTTATGGTTTCTCCTTTTTCTCCTTTTTCTCCTCTTTGTTCTCCTATCTTTTATCCCTATAAAGTATTACCCCTCGACTAAAGTTAATATCATCACGAACATCACGCCATCACACCTCAAGACGCCCAAGCCCAAGCATTCAACAAAAATATTGTTATCCAAATTTCACTTCGAGATCTTAGCAAACCTTGTCCGCAACGATGTGTTTCAATCCAGACAAAGCTTCCAAGAGCAGCTACAATAAAGCAGTCACTCCTAACCCAGCTCCTATTCTTCGACATGAGATCAGCGGCTGGTTGTGTTGTTGTTGTGGCCTAGATAACGGCGGGGATTGTGTTTGGTGTGCGATATGTACTCATTATACAGTCAATTGTGTTTCTTGCTTTTCCTATTAAGTAGCCCTCTGTGTTGGGTGCTTGAGATGGAGAATTCAAGGGTTACAATGACTGATGGGTTTCGTGCAGGATCACTAAACCACAGTCTGTCTAATTGAATTTCAGTCTAAACTTAATTTAATTGAACTTAAAAATATTTGTGAGTTCTCGAACAATACATGCTATTTCTCGTCATCTTTCTGCCATGTGCCAATACCCCACACTTTTTCCTACCCACTCTGGAGTTACTTAGTTAGCATGGACTCCCCGCTATTTTGCAAATAATCCGAGCCCAATACCTACCCATAATTCCTTGCTAACTCCCAACTTCAGGCATGGCTGGACCGAAGTGGAACCTAAAGTCATGCCACGCATTTTGAGATTCAGCCGAAAATCTGATTCTTTGACTCTAATGTTAATTTGTCTCCGCCCGGCAACGAACGAACTGTATTTCTACTTCTCATACGATCAATCGAACGAATATACCGAGAATTGTACCGATTCGTTTCTTCGGGACATTGTACGGATCCAGCTACAGTCAGCTCTGCAGGTGTGCGAGCTTGATCGGTCGAGAATGAGCGAATTAAGAATCAAGATGACTGCTCAGTTTTTTATCACGTGTGGGTACTTGAATACCTTGTCCCTGTGTAACTGTTTGAAGTGTACAGTCATGTCAAGCCGATGACGATGATGCGGCGTAGCTTGATCTCGGCATCTTCTGAACACACAAATTAGATCTCACATTCTTAATCTTCGATCGCTCGATAAGCCTTACCGCCACTTTTGATTCTTTTTGAATTAGATCAAAGAACATGGAATCACTGGAATAGATTCCCCACAACGGCGACAAAATACAAGCGAAGAGATGAAGGATTAATTTGGTGAGATGAAGTGACAGGTGACATAGACGTCGTACGGTGAACCATTTTTGAACTCAAATGGCAATTTTGCTGGGGTATGGAGAAAATATGTGGAGATTTTGGAGAAATTAGAGAAAGTGGTTGGGGTTTTGACCTCCATGGGGTAGATAGAAGGACATGGTTCTGAGGCGATGATCTCTACCTTATTAAGTCATTCAACTTGAAGTAGTTTTGCAATTCGGTGAGGGATGCTTCCGCCACCGGTTCTTCGACATGTCATCACGCACACAGACGCAAACGGAAACAACGTCGTAGCCTCGTAGCGCTCTTCATTGCACAGCGGCGGATTGTTAGAACACATGCTGATCATCCTGACAAACTATTGCTTCCGCCAAAAACTTTTAGAATCAAAACCTTACCTCCACATCCCCAGATTACATGTCCTAGTTCAAGTCCTCATTACTCGAGAGTCAATACGAGTCTTGGACTTCGAGTTTTTGGGAATGTCATGTTGATCTTTTCCCTGATATTACGGCCAAGGCAGGCAATTTTTCTCGCGCTCACATATCATCCTTGTATACACATGTATCTTGTACCGTGGGGTTGAGGTAAGCTTCTGGGGGCTGACGGGCGGGGCGCGCGCCATATCTATGTGAAAACGCCCTAGCTCAGCCTAGTCAACGTAACATGTTCCTTCATTGGCTCGTTGCATGCCGCTTTCCCCATTTCCTTGAAATTTACGTTGACATCCCAAGCCCGAGAGACTGTATAACTAACGTAGTCTTCAAAGTCTTCTGCTCGGTCGTCCCGACCCTGGCTTGATGATCCTGTGCAAGGCCTTGAAGCTAGCTGGTCAATTGGTCGACTGGAACATCTTTCTACCTAGTTCGAGCCTAGCATTATATGTCTACGGTGCATTCACATATCTACGCGTATTTGGAGTTGAAGTTTTCTCCACAATAGCATGCGACAAGGGTGTAAGCTGGGTACAGGTAGCTACAGTTTTGAGATGGAGGGGAAAGTTGGATGGATGATCCTACGTCCAGAGGGCAGTGAGATTATAAGTCTTATGATTTCCACCGTTTCTTGGAATTTTCTTATTCTTGCTTGTTTACTTTGCCCAGCTTTCTCCAAGTCTTTCTAATTGTTTCTTTCGTTTTCATCTTGCAAGATGGCGTCAACGAAGAATCAAATCGATACTGTTGAGCATGCTCATCCATCTACTCATGTCGATTTGAATAATAATATTACTGCCAAGTAAGTTGTGATTTATTCATTGCTGAGTTTCTGTGAAAGTATGACTCTTACTAATCCCCGATCTTTAGAATCCAAAATCCTTTGGCAGGATTGTCAGAAGCTACCCTCATCCGAGATGTAGGAGAATTTGCACAAGCCAACGACCTCAACCACATCCTTCCTTTACTAGAGAAAGGTGCACTAGTAGCATCAGATCCAGAGAACTTTGAAAATGTAGGGAGATTGGATGAGGATGACAAAGTTGCTTTGAGATATGAAGCGGCGCATAGATGGAGTCATCCAACAACGCTATACTTGACAATTATCACCTGTTCTATTGGTGCAGCTGTCCAAGGATGGGATCAAACGGGAAGCAATGGAGCCAATCTTTCATTTCCACTAGAATTCGGAATTGGCCAAGGAGATAACCCAAAATCTCCAAATCACGATCGTGATAACTGGCTTGTTGGATTGGTTAATGCGGCTCCATATATTGGATCTGCTTTCTTGTGAGTTGAGATTGATTTTCGGTGTAGCAAACGAATATGACTGACGATTTATACAGTGGCTGTTGGATGAGTGATCCCTTCAACGCCTGGTTCGGACGTCGTGGTACCATTTTTATCGCAGCTATCATTTGTATATTTACTCCCATTGGAGGAGCTTTCGCAAAGTCTTGGGAAACTCTTTTTGCCAGTCGTATAATTTTGGGACTTGGAATGGGTTTGAAAGGAAGCACAGTACCGATCTTTGCTGCGGAGAATAGTCCCGCTATGATTCGAGGAGCATTGGTTATGTCTTGGCAAATGTGGACTGCTTTTGGTATTTTCTTGGGATTTGTTGCAGTGAGTGTTGAATGAGTCTTCAATGAAGCATCATCGGCTGACACACATCCAGAATTTGGTCGTCATTGATACAGGCAAAATCGCATGGAGACTTCAAATCGGATCTGCATTCATTCCAGCTCTACCTCTCGCAGCCTTGATCTTTTTCTGCCCCGGTAAGTAAATTGAGTTTATGAATCCGCTCAATTAGCTAACAATCAATCTAGAATCTCCAAGATGGTTGATGAAACGAGGAGAATACCAGAAAGCCTACAAGTCCCTTTGCCGACTTCGCAAGCACGATCTCTTCGCTGCTCGTGATCTCTACTTCATCGACTGCCAACTCAAAATCGAAGCAGCAATTGTGGGTAAAACCAACTACATCAGTAGATTTGTCCAACTATTCACCATTCCACGTGTACGAAGAGCAACTCTTGCATCTTTTACCGTGATGATCGCTCAACAAATGTGTGGTATCAATATCATTGCATTCTATTCTTCGACCATTTTCAGACAGGCAGGTGCTTCCGAAAAGAATGCATTGATAGCTAGTTTTGGATTTGGATTGGTTAATTTCGTATTTGCGTGAGTCTTTTCTCTCTACAAACTTCATCGAGTGTTTTGCCCACTCTTTGAACTACTATATCAAGATACTAATATCATTTATCTAGCTGGCCAGCCATCTGGACCATCGACACCTTTGGTCGACGTTCGCTACTTCTTTTCACCTTTCCACAAATGGCCTGGTCTCTCCTCGTCGCTGGTCTATGCTTCCTCATCCCTCAAGGTTCCACTGCGCATCTTGGACTCATCGCTACATTTATCTACATATTTGCCGCCTTTTACTCACCAGGAGAGGGACCTGTTCCTTTCACTTACTCAGCCGAGGTTTTTCCCTTATCACACAGAGAAGTTGGAATGGGCTGGGCCGTTGCAACATGTTTATTCTGGGCAGCCGTCCTATCAATTTCCTTCCCCAAGATTTTGGAAAGCTTCCATCCCGTCGGAGCATTTTCCTTCTACGCGTAAGTTTCCCACCTATTACTCAAACCACCCAACCAACTAACTCCCCAACCAGCGGCCTCAACGTCCTCGCCTTCTTCATGATCTTCCTCTTTGTCCCCGAAACCAAACAACGCACCCTCGAAGAACTAGACTACATATTCGCCATTCCCACCCGCACATTCATGCGATACCAAATCACCAAAACCCTCCCATACTGGATCCAACGCTATGTATTTTTCAACAAGAACGCGGTGCTAGAGCCTCTTTATCGGTTTGATGAAACGGCAGATTATAGAGCACCTGATACGAAACTTTCGGGACAGCCGGAACAGATTGAGAAGGTGGAGAGGAGTAGTGAGGGGGAGAGCGCGGAGATCGCGGCGGGGGAGAAAATGTAATGATGTTCATAGAGAAAGGGAATGATGGGGTAGGATGGGTCGATAGGATATCTTCTATAGGAATAGAAAGATAGATAGATAATGCAGGATAGAGATTTATAAATATGTAAAGCTGGATCTGTAAAACTTGTCTCCTGCCTACTTGATCTTCTGATGTACATGATGCACAACGGTTTATTCAGCTCATTTCAATCTAGGACTGCAAGTTCGATTTGCCAATTATGTCATGAATCATTACATAATATCATTCGATCCCATATAATTCAGCCTTCAATAACCATATAAATATCATAGTCTACTAATAGTTTTCATACAATCCAAACTTTCCAAGTAAGCTATATCCCAAAAAATTCCCATCATCTTGAACACAGCAATCGATATCCAAAAAAGCGATTGACCGATATGGTTTGACAGTGCAATATAATTTGAGACTGATTTCACTCACCACTCTACATCAATCGATGGCATCACATCTACTCGAAAAGAGCTTGCAATTGTTTTTCTATCTCCCCATGATTCAAAAAAAAAATCAAGACTGAAATTTTAAATGGAGAATTCTTCACTAGCAATTACATCCCCTCATCATCATTTCCCATCAACCAACAAATCATCTCCCTCATCTCTACCATCTCTCCCCCTGTTAACCGAGCCATTTCATCGAAAAATCAAACATCCAATTTACACATCATTTCACGAGATCGCTCTGTTCACAGGTAGGGAGGTACACTGACAAATTGTAAAAATATTTCCTTCATTACTGCTACCAGAGCAACTAAATAATTCGTGTTGTTTCGTTTTCATAACCGTACAGTGCACACATCGTATGCTTAATTATTCATTTGTTTCCCAATACCCTCATAAGACATCACAACTAAAACGCCCATATGTACCGCCAAAATGCATATCAACCGCCCCACAGGAAAAAAGAGAGAACATGTAATGAACCATTTTTTCCGCAACCAAACCATGTCCTGAAATAAAGAAAAATTGATCCTTGAACCCTCTTCAACCAGTCTCAGTCTCAACATCTGGCTGCCTACCACTCAAACTCGTCTTGTTCTTCATTCTCCTCGCTGCAAACTTCATCTCATCCTTTGCGAAAACCAAATTCCTCATTGGCTTCCACTGCATAAGTCCCCTCTGCTTTCTATGCAAACCCTTTGAATTCTCCTTATAATTCTCATACTGTTTGATCGGATTACTGGAATGGCTCGATCCATTGTTTCCATCCATCTCGCCATTCTCAATTTTTGATCTAGTCGAAGCATCATTTAAGCCTAAATCCGATTCCGCATCCGAGTCTGAGTCCGAAGATGTAGACGTAGTATTCGTGTCCTCGCTCATATTTTCATTGAGACTCGCTTCAACACATCCACCTTCTCCTAGTGGTTTCTGTACCATGCTAGCCTCATAATCAGCGTCCTGATACTTCTGTCCGAAACCACCATTATTGACGTACTGTGCAGGATCCTGACCAAAAGCCCCACTCCAATCTGTTCCATCCTGATCTAACCACTTAGCCTTTTCATCTTCATCGGCTTGACTGAGAACATCTCTCCCTTGGGTTAAAGACTGATCATGGAGTTGTTGAACCACTGGTGGAATTTCTTTCGTTACAATCTTACCACGTACACCTTCGGAATGACATGCTTCCCAGGTTTCTTGAGTTTCTCGGGAATCATTGTCGGTGACAAACTTTTCGTGATCTTGATCCATGCCAGCTTTGAACCTCCCCGAAAATCTGAGGCGCCCAATTTCTTCAATTTCCATATCTGGGACTTCGCGGAAGTTTTCCTCTGTGATGTAATTCTGAGTAAGTCTCATGCCCTTGTCAGTTTTCCAGATTGGAATATCAATCTCTTCCGCCTTATTATCCTCCAATTTGTGGAGCCAGATTACTGCATAGGCATCGGCTCCACGCTTACCGGTGACGTGGAATTCGAAGACTATTGGTGATCGATAACGATATTTGACTGGAAGTCGAATATTATTTTTTCCATCTTTCTTGGCAAGATCCCAGTATAAACCATCACCTTCTTCACTCTTTCGACATTGGGTACGGTTAATCTTTCCTACACTTCCTCCAGTCCGAAGCTTCAGTTTGGAGTTGTTGGCATAGCCAGTAGCCGAAATCCTATCAGATGTGAATTCAAATGTTCCTACATCCCAGCCCAATTGCTGTGGTGGCAATCTGGTTTCGACACTCCTGAAGAGAACGGAGATTCTGACGCGACCAAAACCAATTCCACCATCTAGAGGATACCATCTTGTAACTTGAGAACTTGTTTGTAGAAGATCCGATAACTTCAAAGGGACAACTCCGAGAATTGGATCGTGTTGTCTCATACGTTGATCCCGAACCGTAATGGTAATAATTGCTGATCTCCAATCACGGATAAAACGTTCAGTACCTGCATTGAAGATGGGCTTTGAGCTAACGACTTTGGAACGCGTACGATATACCTGAAAAAGGTTAGTTATGATAAATCAAAACAGGAAACAATACTTACCAATTCATCATTGTATAGAATCGTACAGTAACTGCTTGGCAACTTCTTATTTTCCTCTTCCTTGTTCTCACCTGCGTCCACTGCTGGTTCAAATTCTCTCCCCTTGCGTTTGCCATCACTACCTTTGACATTTTGTAACTCAAGGTTAACAATTTGATGAACGATGACACTGCACACACCACTTGGCCACAATGGATCAGGAGGAGTATGAACCGCAGCATCTTCTTCGGGAGTATCAAGACTTCCTTTCGGATCTTGCAATTCTTCCTTGTCTTGCAATTCTTTGGGAAGATTAACATCTTTTCCGTGGCTTCTCATTGCTGGTCTGAATTGTGGTTTGCCAAAGTATCCAACTTCCCAATGAAGTTCACCAGGCATAGAACTATCAGAATCCATACCACGAAGTTTAGAAACTTGTGGGTACATCTTTCCCGGGTGTTGAATCATTTTTTGCATAGAAAGTTCGACCTTCCCAACAACATCATCAGAAGTTGATCGATCAGAGTCCCAAAGTTCCATTGAAAGTTGTTCATCAGCTTTGATGAGATCAGGAGTAACGAGTAGAGCACACGTCTCTTCCCAAATTGGATTGAGGTTATCTTGAATGACTCGAGTACAGTACATTGGCTTTCCGTACTTGGAGAAGCTGACAGTAATGTAAGGATCACTTCCACCACCATCACTTCCACGTCGATCCTGTTTACTGAGGCCAGTAGCTTTATGAATTCGGATCCAGAGAACACCGAGTGCTTCAACATCCTTTTGAATATCGTCACCCTTCAATAATTTGGCCATATCTAGAGTCATAGATTTCGGAGCGACATATTCATTAGCAGCAGCACCAATGGCGTAATTGACGAAATTGGAAATTAGAGGAAGATTCAGGATGTTGATACCAGTTTCAATCATTGGTACACATCCAGCTTGAACCTTGGGAAGTCCCATCAACGTGAATGTTAGTGCCTTCAAGAATGGAGGCTCTGGCGAAAGTTGAAGACGTAATCGAACGGTTCCGACAAGACCTTGCAATTCAACAAAAATTGGTAGAGGACTGCGTTGATTAGCAACGTCACACTGTGGAAGGAAATAACAACTTACACTCCGAAAAGTCCTTTCATACCAAGATAGAATACCAGTTGCATGTGCATATTTTTCGCCTTTTCGGAAGTTCCACCTCCTGAAGGTTGAGCATGATATGCGAAAGAGCATTCCAAATTATAATAATCTCCACCTTCTTCATCGGCAGCTAATTCTTGAGGATCTTTGTTCTTTTCATTTTGTCGATGGATATCATCCTTCATTTCTTGAACATGACCATCAGGAAGGGCTCGCAAACTCAAAATTCGGAAAGGGTTTGTTCCTTGATTGATTTCTGCGACTCTAACATTTTCAATGACACCAGGTACTGAAGCTTGCATAACGTCTTCAAGAGTATCTGCAACAGACGCAAATAGATCGGGGTCGATAAGTCCCCACATAACGCCCAAGAGAGAATTCATCCATTCGACGGATTCCGGAATTAAATTTGCGGTTGCCTGAGAATATTAGCTTAAGAATCAATTGTGAGATGCATATACCAACCATTTGTCCCCTTTGTCTTTCACTCTCCCATTCCATAGCTCGGCCAGATCTTATGACCTCCTTCACCCAAAGAAATACACCCGATGCAACGCATGCTCCTAAAGGAATAAGACCATACAGAGCTCCCCCAAATAATTTTCCTAAAACTACAATACCCAAAAATATTCCAACGACAAGTAGCGTTGATCGTTTCTCCAGAGATTCATACATCGGTTCATAGCTGACCGAGGGTGTAGGGTGGAATAAGATATTCGTCTTTTCTCCATGGATTGGAACATCGGAAGTGCTTCCAGGTTCTACTGGATCTGGTGGGGCGGTGATATCTTGATTTTTTCTATATTCCTCCCCAGATTGAGTAGCTTCTGTCTTGACTGGTGTAGACTTATCAAGATTTGCATTTGGAACGGAAAGCTGTTGCCACAAATGTTAGTTATTTATCAAAATCAACAAGGCTGGCAGATGTAGCATACCTGTGGATTATCAACCGATTTCATGAAATCTGCATTAACATCCTCAATTTCCACATCTTTTCCAGTTGTTGGATCGGTAACGATCTTCCTCGTGCCTTCAATTCCATGTGGTTGTCCTTGTGTGTGATCTGTCGCATCTCCTTGAACGCGCGATTGCAATTGTTGATTGATTTTTGCATCTCTATCTCTCTTATCTGAATCTAAACTCTCCACGAATCGTTGAATGTTCGGAATTGGATTGGAGCCGGAGTAATGTGCCCCCGGACCTTTCTTATGATCGTTCGACATGTTGATGAAGATGGAGGATGATTATTGAATTGAGTTCGAAGGTAAAGGCGGGAGGGGAAGCGGGGAAATTATCTGCAGGATGAGTCCCTGATCGACCAGAACAGCAAACAAGAATGCCGTTTCTGATCAACAAGAATTGCAATTGAAGATGTTCTTCCTACCTTCTTACTGCCTCGACGGCGGCTTCGTTGTGCTGAATTGTATAAGAAGGAATCCGGTATTTGATTATGAGTATGAGTATGTAATATCATGAGAAAAGGAATAAAGACAACAGAAGCTTACAAGTCATGACCTAGCCATGGTAAAAATAATCGTTTGGAATTGATGTGGAATGGCATAACAAGGAAAATTGGCTGGAGGCCGGTAGGATGTGATGTCATATCAAGGTAGCTTGAGTGCTTCACTGGAGACATCCTTCGGCCAAGCGTCAGCCACGCAATCACAAAGCGGGATTGTGTTTATGTAAAATGTAAAATGTCAAATGTAAAATGTCAAATGTAAAATGTCAAATGTAGAAATTTCTTGATTTTCTATCTGGAATGCGAAGATAGTATCAACCGGGGTGATTGAGGCTCACAATTGCGACGATGATGCGCGAGGATTCTTTGGTCGGGGGAAGTTCTCCGAGTCCACCATATTGATGATCTACAGCTTGTCAGCTTAACCTTACCTAAGCACACACATTTACTGAACAGGGCCTAGACGAGGGGTTCTCGTCTTCATACATGGAAAATGCACAAAGCACAGTCTGCGTGTTGATATTCGGAGTCAATCCAGATATGGATACAGACATCAATCGAGAGTATTCAAAAGTCTTCCTTCATATTATATGCTGTCAACATCAAAGTCTTTCAATGTCTATGACTGATTCAATTGAGTGTACCTTTTCCCCCCAACCATGTAACCTTAGCCATGTGGAGGTAGCTTCGACCTATAAATATCTACCCAGGCACTATACCTTTCCCTGGTTGGTCTGTTGTCTGTCTTGGAAGTTGGAACTTTGGAGCTGGCAATCTATCTCCAAGGCAACATTTATCACACATTGTCATTGTCACTGATTGTGTTCTAGTATAGAATGTCGATATTGACATCGGCCTCACAGTCGACATCATCTATAGTACAACAACATCTACTATCCCTTGCGACGCATTTATCAATCCTTTGATATGGGACACACTCGATTCATCAATTGCCAAAAATGTTCCCACGGCAAGCTAGATAACTCTCCTCTCACTATCAATGAGGATGGTATGATAATTGAGAACGAGTTTTGTGATACTTACGCGGAAGTGGTGGACCTTGAAAACAGTATTATCGCTCCTGGCTTTATTGAATTGCAAATTAATGGTGCTTTGGGTTTCCACTTTGCAAATTATGTCGATCCTACCAGTTATCATGATGGTGTACAAAAGTTATCGCAATATCTCCCAAGCACAGGAGTAACTGCGTTTTACCCCACAGTACCTACTGTCCGACCTGATGTTTTTCATAACGTCCTACCATTTCTGAGACCATCCAATCCATCTACTGGGGCCAGCGTATTGGGTGCACACGTTGAAGGACCCTTCCTTGCTCCGAGTAAGAAAGGTGCCCACAATGCCGGAAATCTGCTCGTTCCCGAAACTTTGACTCTTGAAAATGTCTACGGAAAACACAATCTCTTACATGCGATTAGAATTGTAACAATGGCTCCGGAGCTTCCAGGGGCATTGGAGCATATCCGAAAACTGAGAGACGAGTACACAATTTCGGTTAGTATGGGACACAGTGCGGCCACCTATGAGCAAGGATTGAAGGGTATGGACGCCGGTGCATCTCTATTGACTCATACCTTCAATGCTATGAATACTTTGCATCACAGAGAGCCAGGCCTAGTTGGTAAGTTTATATAAAAGTTGAAGGGGTTTCCAATAGTCTGCTGTGCAGTTCAGCAATCAGAGGCTCTCAATGTTTGACAGCAATATAAGTCCCAAAATGGATCGGGGATTATTACTTCAAAAACCCAACTTGATTCAGACGTTGAGAATTTCTGATTGTTAGACCACAAGTAAGACTGAAGTATACCCTGGACCGAACTAGGCTGAAAGTGACGCTGAACATTCATAGGTCTCATATCTAGTCCAAAGGCTGGAAACCGATGGAATCCGTCGTTCTCGTTGATTGCCGATTCCATTCAGTGAGTAAAATATTTAGCTCATATGTATTTGAAGCTGGATCGAGATATGTGGAAGTTCAAATCTGTCGTCTCTAGATTCACTTCATTGCGTCAAGTCTTTACTTCTCCATCAGGATGGCAGCAAGATCTACGGCTAGGCAATAAAATGCTGGGCTTTTCCGCCCTGCTCCTTGCCCTATCATTTTTCTCTTTCCTTTCTTCCATCATCCCAATAATCTTTCTTGGATTCTTTCCTGTGACCTGCTCTCATGCTGACAACCAAAAGCCTTCATCCATCAATTGTATCCATGGCCTATCACGCCTCTCCAAAACAGGCTATCTTAGTAACCGATTCCGTCGAGCTTTCCGGTCTTCCAGATGGCATTTATCCTGGGCATTCTCAGATCCCGCATCCACAGCTCAAGATAGGGAACAAAGTGACGATAGCTGGAACCGAAACCCTTGTTGGGACTTGTATTCCACTTGATCAGTGCGTCAGGAATCTCATGCAATGGGCAAATATACCAATCGAGAAGGCCGTAATGACAGTCACTGAGAATGTAGCAGATCCGATGGGTTTGGCGGATAGAGGTAGCCTAGAATCCGGCTGCAGAGGGGATTTTGTGGTGATGGATAAACAAGGGTGTGTGAAAGAGACTTGGGTGCTAGGAAAGAAGATTTGGAGCAGCAGTTGAAAGTCCATAGCTCGAAGGTTCTATACACATATATCTTAGATTGATTCCAAAGTACTGATACGGAAATCTCTTTCCGTTGAGAAATTATCAACTTTCTTTCAACCATTTTCTAAGCCGTTATTTTCTCTAAATAGCAAGTATCAACCATCGGACTTCGTAGCATTTGCAAGCATTTTGATGGCTGGTGAACGATTAATCGCATTTGGTTAACCAGGATTCCTTTAATAATATGGTGAAAAGAACAATTATCTTAAAAGTCTTTCTTGTTCGTGGAAATGGTTTTGTTTGTGATAACCTTTACGCTTCAACAGCCTATATTTTACCGATTACTCAGCAAAATGGTACTAAATCACACCCCCTTTGCAACCCAGAAAACATCAATAGGGAAAAATAATAAAACCATAAACCTGGATTCGGCCATTAAGATTCAACAGCGACAGTAACCAGCGCAACAACGCACTCAATCTAGACATTTTGATCTGAGAGCCCACAATTACTCACTGTACCGTTTTTCGAATCAAGCAATTAACCGCGTATTCTCGAATGATTTTGCGGGCTTCAAACGCCCAAACATCCACTTCTTCCGCGAACAGACATCTTGTCAAAATCAATGCGATGAAACTCCAGGGGGTTCTAGCCATCCGAAGATATCAGCCACTTATACAGTAAGCTTGTGGAATGTCACTCATTTTGTATTGAGCTAGGTATAGTGAGAAATACCTAGGCGCTGTTATGCTTCGAGACCACTCCTAATTTTCTTCCAAATATGAAATATTTTTCTGCGCTGCTTCTTTATCAAATCAAGAAGATTCGCGTTGCACTAGGGGATTGCCATTCTTGTGCCCTCAGTCAATTTGGTCATAATGATATACTGTCGATATAAGGTTAAGCATCGAGAGAGGTAGCCGAGTCCTCTCATAACGGCAAGGAGAAGTCTGAGATTCTTCAGTGGAGCATCCCATCAGCCCATGTGGATTCTGGCAATTCATAAGGATGACGAGTCTGATCGCTTGGCAATTAAGGGCATGCGACGACAACCCCGCTCTCCTCCAATTATACTTCAGAATTTGGGGGGGTTATGCTTAAATGTTTAAGAGGGAAGCGAAACTAAATTTGTTCAGCAATATTGGCCTGTGGAATTTCATATGGAGATTTGTAAAAGCATACGACGCATTGGATGGTAAATTTACTTTCCGCTGGACCTGCTTCCGCGGATATAGGGGATTGTTGGGGCTAGAATTAGTGTTTCTTTGCGATTTGATCATCAGTATTGCACAGGGTAAGACTTGGTTGTGAAGCCTCATTCACGACTCATGTTCTACGGCCTTGTTGTGGCATTCGTGTGATGATAATTTTGTTATGAATACTGCAAGTTGCTTATTTACTCCATGGAGAGGCCGGAAGTTGAATTAGATTTTGACTAAAGTTTGAACTCTATATACTTAAAGGGCTCAAAGCATTGTTGACCCTCTTCCCTAGTCAGCTTTAAGACTGCAAATCGTAGTGGCACTTCACAAGCTTATAGTTAAGCCTCTTCCTACGGAGAATACTTGCGCGTCCTACCATTATGACCAGGTTAGGGACCAAGGATTGATATTTGTTATACAGTCATATTCGTTGGTTCTTCAGCGAATTGTACTCTACTATGAAACCTGACGACATTATTGATGGGGAATACTCCATATCATAGTCCTTAAAGAGTAAGAAGAACACGGTGAATGGTGCACGCTATTTGAAATGGCCTGAACCAATTGCGAATGAGATGTTTCGAAACAAATGAATTGACATCAACTAAAGCTTACGAACTTCATTGCGAAGACAGCAAGGATCTTATATTTACCAAGACTAAATGCATCCTTCACCTTGCTGGTGATAGTGAATATCAGTGACGTTCATGGTGACGACTTGCTAAGATGATGGCGGTGTTGATGAATGGAGAATGCATCGTATGAAGCATAGTTTCAAAAGAAACAATTACAACTTTCAAGAACATAAATAGGTTCTCAAAGTCTCTCTTCCTTATCACCATCGTCCTCTCTATCTTCACTTCCACTTCACTCTTTAAGATTGAACTCAAAGAACTCATTCAGATTTACATTCTTGAACGTTCAATATGGTTCAAATCTCTAAACTTGCCATTGCTCTTTCAGCAGCTTGCCTTGCGCCTGTCATTGCCCATCCTGGAGAACACCATAATCACTATGCCATCAAGCGAAAGATCACTGCTCGTGATCAAATGGCCTCCGCTGCCAAAAGATCTCTCGATTCTTGCTCTGGATCCTTGAAGCATCGTCAACTTAACGCACGATCCTTTGCTCGTCGTGCAGAAGCTGCTCGTTCCCTTCGTGCCAAGCGCGATCTCAAGACCTGTGAGTGACACCCACCAAGTCCTAGGATTTCAGTTCTATTCGAAAAACTATAGTACGCGATATCATTATAGAAACATCAATACTAATAAAAATCAACAGTACCCAAAAAGTTTCGTCGTGATCTCGCCACCCTTGAAGTCTACAAAGCTATCAACCACAACGAAACGGGTGTTCTCGACTACAGCGTCAACACCCCGGAATCCACCATCTTTGCCGCTAACACCTCTTGCATCTTGACCCCTGCCAGTACCGATGGCCCTTACTACGTTCTCGGTGAAACTATTCGCCAAGACGTCACTGAAGGACAAGTTGGCATTCCTCTCCATCTTGAGGTTCAATACATCGACATCACAACATGCGAGCCTGTTCCCGAGGTCTACGTCGACATCTGGAACTGCAACGCCACTGGTATCTACGGTGGTATCAACGTCACTGGAAATGTTGCTGATGGTGGTTACGATTCTACCTTCTTGAGAGGTATCCAAGCTACCGATTCCGACGGAGTCGCTACCTTCGATACCATCTTCCCAGGTCATTATGATGGACGTGCTACACATACCCATCTCCTCGCTCACTCCAACGTTACCGTTCTCCCAAACAACACTATCCAAGGAGGAGCCGTAACCCACATTAGTCAGCTTTTCTACAACGAAGTTCTCCGCAGCGCAGTCGAAGCCACATACCCCTACAACACCAACTCTCAAGCTGTTACCACCAATGCTGATGACATGTGGTCCATCGTCCAAGCCGAGAACGATTTCGATCCTTTCCCCGAATTCATGTATTTGAGCGACGATATCACCGATGGATTATTGGCCTGGATTCAAATCGGTATCAACACCACTGCAGATTGGTCTGATGATGATTACTACAGTGTCGCAGCTACTATTCAAGCTGATGGCGGACATGCAAGCACTTCTAGCTTCTCCGGCGGTGGAGGTGATGGTGGAGCTGGTAATGGTACGGCCCCAGGAAATGGAACTGCTCCACCTTCTTAAGGGGATCGCAAATTTTGAGTTTGATGTTACAGTTACTGTTTGTGTGAATAAAAGTTCAAGTAACCGCAGAGCTACTGCTGTTGGCTCACCGCATGTTAGATTAAGCGTTTCAAATATACCTTTTTGGCCTACCTTGGCATTTATCAAAAATAGATATTCATGCATGTTGAAAGTGATGATTTGGTGATGATATGGTAAATACTGAAGCGGCTACTATTCTAGATGCCGAGATTGAGCCCCTTCATGGAGATCATTTTGGCGAGGCCACGGGACCTCATTTGAATATGCAACTTCGTTTTGTTCTAAAGCTTCATTCGAAGTAAAGGTAAATACTGTTCCGATCGAATCTTTGTTTTTCTTGTTGTCAATTTTTTAAAAATAGTGAAAAAGAACTCGACGTTCACTTTGAGCCATTTCTCAACCTTATGGATGTCCCATATTCATACTTTCATCCCGCCAAACACACTTTAGTGATACTCTACATTTCTTAGCCTCAAAAAATTTGATGTCTTACTAATTGTAGGATTATCCTACTTTCTACATTCCTTCATTGCCTAGCAAACCAATATTTATTGTTTACATGCGCCGATATTTAACCTTATTTCGCTGTGGCTGGGAGTGACGCGAGTGACTCTATTTCAACCACCATCCTAAACCAACTTCAAACAAACCCCTTAATCATTATCAAAAAAGCATCATAGTCTCAAGGTAATCATGAGATTCACTAGTACATACCAAGCTCTCTTCCTCGCGATCTCTTCCCTTCCGGCTCTCACCACCGCCACATCCACCACCCCTATCGATCCGGCATCGACATGCTACACCTCTCCACTTCCCACCCTTTGTCCTTCGCTGTCTAATGCCACGCGCTCTATCCCCTGGGGCACCCCTTCATTCCTCCTTCCAAATGGCACACTCTGCTGCGATACTCTAACCCAAATCCGCGCCGGTATTGACGACATAGACACGCAGCTCCTCAACCTTCTAGCCCAAAGAGCGGCATATGTAAGAGAAGCGACGAGATTCAAAGCGACGTTGGATACGGTGGATGTGCCGAGTAGAGATCAACAGGTTATTGAAGGTGCGGTTGCCAAGGCTAATGAGACGGTTCCGAGGTTGCCGGAGGTGATCGCGAGAAGTGTTTTCGAGGCAATTATTAATGGAAGTGTGCCGTTTGAAGAATGTGTTTGGGGAAGTTTTGAAGGGCTGGTGTAGAAGTGGTTTTGGTATGGTTGTGGTGGTGAATGTGGGTTTGGATATCAAAATGGACGGAGATTGGACCGGAGACGAATTTAGCCTCGCAAAAGTCGTATTCGTGGACCAATCACTCAAAACATACCTGTTTTTGGATGGGACTCGTGTTGAGAGATTGTGATATCTGTGATGTAATGTTTTGGGATATAGATGCTTGAGTCATTGAAGTGGATGAGTTGTAGGGTTCAGTAGCTTGTGAAGGGTTGAGGATTGTAGGTATCCATTAATTGTAAATCTCTAATATCAATTGCCTCGCGGTACTGATTAAAAGTTGTATCAAAACTGCAGTATTCTAGAGAGATTGAATGTTATCAAAGGAATTTCGAAATGTTGGGTGAACACGATAAAATTTAATGGCTTGGGCCTCCATGAATACGGTCCTCGTCCCCATTGTCTACAATCTATAGGCCATACTTCCTCATGTGTATCTAAAAACATGTTTAAAGGATTATTTTTGAGTTCAAAGGCTTTACACAGGACAAATTTATCGGGGTTAAGAATATAATGCTACTTACTTTGCCAAACAGGATCAAGGTGGGATAGACGCAATGCAAGCATATGCCACCAGTATATGCTACAGACCCAAGAGCTATGTCAAAGATCATGCCCATCATCTCTAGAACTGTCCAATTGATTCTCTTCGAAACAATTGATTCTATTGTGCACAAGAAGACCATGAAATCAGTCTGTAATTAAGAGAAGAGAAGCTTGTCAAATCACATGATGGGTCGCGCCTAAACTTTGTGGCTACGGCGTTCATATCTTTGAATGGTATGATTTCTGAGAACTTCTAGAAGGCCTGTGTCTTCAGCCCGGCTACGAATTCAAACGGAATCACTTAGCTAGAATCCTTATATCAGTGCAGATACTTTGCTGAAGACTGATTAATGCCTGGGGCTTCTGCTCAATGGCGATCAACAAGCGCTCTGTCTAACTTCAGTCATACGGCGGTATGATCTGGTGTATTGGCTCGGACCTTCCTTCTCACTCTCCTGTACGTATTTGAGATATAGGCTCTGGATTCGGCTTCCTATCCAGACAAGACAAGGCTGCGCAAAATTATACAACTGGGTGCCTAGGTACAGGTACATTGCTTAAAATAAAAGGGATTTAAGGATATATGTATAACGCAAATATCCATGCTTGAGCTTGGTTGTTGGAGACCTCTTCGGAGAGTATAACTTAATTTCCTACAATACACAATATTACTGTAGCCATTGTATTTCAGCTTCAATGTATCTATGCTACTAAGCTTGCGGACAGTTGAGTTTGGATTTTCGGCTATCTTCGGTTGGGAGTTGGGGACTGTTTGAAGAAATTCACTGGAGATAGCTCCAATGGGTATGTTTCGAGTGAATCAAGTAAAATATTCAGAGGAACTTTTTGAGCCCGCACGTTGACTGGATAATCTGGACTCGCCATTAAAAGGTTTTTAAAATGGGTATCGGCCAGAAAGAAAAGAAGGATTATTGCTTGGGCATGTTTTTGTTAAGTCTTGTAATGAAAAATCTTTTGTACATAAAGCTCATAGTGCTTGGATATCTCTCTCTTTCCTCAAGCTAGTAATTGGCTTTTGAGCGATAGTCTGTGGATGAATTATTGGAGAAATCTACGGAGGCTTAGGTTATTAACCCAGAAGACTTCTCTGGTAGTTCGTTATGCATTTGCTTTCTAAATACTATACCAAGAACTTTTCACTGAGCACAATCATAAACAGACCATTTATCAACAGCTATGTGATGATCTTAGGCCAATTAATGTATTGAGTATTGGAATCAATTGTGCTTATGCATTTTTAATTTGTTCAAAGTCGTTGCATCGCTAGAGCAGCTCGATCTTCAAGGTCAACGAACACTGTACCACTTGATGGTTTGCATGATAGTAAATTTACTATACAAATCAAAAGATCATTACAACTAGCATAAAAACATCTTTTTGGTCCAGGCTGACTAAGAAACTATGAATAATAACCCCATAATATGACAAGGCTAACATGTATAAAGTTAGGAAATGGAATCCCACAAAAGTGTGCTCTTTCTTTCTTGGATATTCACTCAGAGTGACAACACAGTCTGAAGTACACAACAACTACACGAAACACAATTCAACAAAAATTGGTTACACGTTGTGAATTCTAATCTAGACATAAAGATACAACGATGGAAAAGAATTTTTCAAACAATCTAGTATTCATTGTTAGAAGAAGGAGCACAAAGTCACACCAGGCATAAAATGCTTGGATTAGAGTATGAGCGTAAGTACGCCTCAAATTCGGAATCTGCCTTCTAAGGAGGATTGATCTCTTGGGGGAGCTGGCATCAACATAGTAAAGAGTACACGAGTACCTGCCATTTGGATTGCGCAGATAGATAAGAAAAGGGTCGTTACTCACCACGCCTTTCACTTTTCAGAGTCACATTCATCGTATTTTTGGTATTCAATTGTATTAAATTGATCTGTTCGGTCTTTCCGTCCGGATAGTTTTTCCTAAAATACATTGCTACTTTCAAGTGTTCTTTTACTTCATCAATTCCTGAAAACTTTGTCCAATGTCTAACGTCGGGAGGAGCATGGTTCTTCGTAATTATTCGAGGGTTTTCATACAGCAAATTTCGCGCGATATTCTTGACCATGTGAAGATTTCGGTATGATATTACAAAATCAATCCTCAAAGAGCCTTGCGACTTCAGCTAGCCGCTGTTTAATTTTCAATATCATCGTCGCTGTTATCATCCGTAATACCCTCATCTTCCTCGGGTTCCTCATCTTCATCCTCCTCGCTGACCTCTTCGTCATTTTGGCTTTCTGCATAGCCAGTACCCCTGTCATCGTTATCATCACAGTCCGATGATTCGTTGCCTGCAGAATAATCTTGTTGGCGATTAAGGGCGCCGGCTTCAACCATGATCTGCAAATTTAGACCCTCCCATTCCTCTCTATTCTGGTAGAGCCAGATTGGTAGATTAGAGACCTTTCTTGCTATGTTCCCCTTCAAGTTCGCTTGAGCATCTGCAATTCTTTGGTCTGCGTATGCTTCTGAGACCTTCTTGAAGGTTTGCAAAGCCTTGTAGTTTGTCTGGATTCTGCGGCGCTTCTCTTGCAACGTGTCCAGCTTGACATCTCCGTCTTTCCATTCGACGAGCTTGAGTTGACGATTCTCATTGATATCGCTTTTGGTTGTATAGATCATGACTTCTTTGAAACTCAAGCTCCAGTTATCAATATTGCTGAGTCTGTAGTAGGCCGCCCAAGGACTGTAGATGGCGGATTCGTGGGAGCAGTCACTCACTGCAAAGTTGTCAACTTTAGTGACTTGCATGACGTTGCACATGGTAATAAAAGCTTCGTCACTCCAATCTCCTTCGATAATCGGGCAAATGCGATCAATTTGTGGATTGAACCAAAGATTCTTGAGTGGATTTAGTGGTCCGACATACCCTCCAATCTGCGCAAGTGCAGCTACGTTGTATTGTTTGTCGCGATGTTGGTCTATGAACCACTGTCTTGATTGTCGGCAAACACGTAAAGCAACAGAATATGGCTCATTACTCCATAGTTCAAAGCTCTCTCCGACTTTCTTACATCTGACTGTAACGTTTCGTTGCTCTATGATATATATGTGACTCCAAATAAGGTTCAATACTTCGTTTGGGAGATGAATGGGTGTCTTTCCAGAGATATCAGAGGAACGAAGCGGTGCAGCATTGCCGACCTGGTGCTGTGCATCAAGATTTGTGATTTCCCTGCTGATTTCACCGAATGTGTCCACCTGTTCATTTAAAGATGATCTTGAGTTCTCCATTTCCGCGCTAGGTATTGACAGTTCCAAAGTAAGCTTGAATTGGAAGTTGATAGTTGAGAGGATGATGTGGAAAGTTTTTCGCTGTAGAATTTCGTCCTAATAGTAATGAAAGATGGGATCTATTAATGGAAGTCTTGAAAGTATCCAGGATGATGTTTTTTGGAAGAGGAATAGTCTAGCTTTTATAAATAGTTTCCAGTGATTCTGAGAAGTGTTTAGGTTATTTACCGTGTAGCGCGACAGCGCGAGCTTTTCACGCCATCGCGCTATTCGCTATGGACCACGATATGAAAAGCGCCGTACCTGGAGATATCTTATTATTATCCTTATCATATACAGTATAAGAAAAGCTCTTTCTTTGTTCTCTTTCCTCGTGTCGAAGGCTCTAAGTGTCTTGTACTGTCACGCTTAACTTTCGAATTCACTTGATCACTTAGCATTCATGCAAGCTGACTTTCTTCTTGAGAGGATAGAAGAAATAGTGATTTTGGCTGTGTGTTTAGGATTGAAGATAGCGAATATAGAGTAGTGTCATTGAACAACTGATTGTTATGACCAGAAGAAGTTTTACCTTGTGTTATAGCTAGACTTGTTTCAAATTTTATTTCTCACATTTTTGATAGCCTTACAATCCTACTTCGACCTGCACTCTATACTTTTGCCTCTGAGTTTCTGGGGAAATCATGATTTAGTTAGCCGTTTAAACTCAAGCTCCTTCTCGTTGGCTTATACTTAGCGAATTGAGCATTTTGACACATTCTATTCATTTACTTATATATACATGGTAGACGGTATATAATCAAGAGTGTTTCACCTCACGATAAACAGTTCATCAATCATATTTCTAATACCTCTTGTTATTTAGTTTTGTATATGTACTCGAACAAATCTCTTGTAGTCGCATTCTATCATCCTCTTATTCCGCTCTGCAGTGATAGCCATGGTGCAATCGTCTCAGACCTACGATACAATCAACTTAGCTTCAGCTGTATTTCGGATAGAAGATAAAATTGAAAGCGGTGCATGATAAATTTCAAACATTCTAGGTCACCATGAACAATGTATTATTTAGATCGATCCTGCCTTTTATAGACTATGGGATATTAGTTGACGATTTCGGTAAGCCCTAAAGTTAGGAGACTATATTTTTCTGCGATGTGTGACGCAATGAATTTTTAAAAATTATATGAATTTGATTTTTTTGTGACTGTCTTGCCTCCTCTTCATTGTCAGTGTCATAGTCATCACTGTTTTCGTCTTCAATGCCCTCGTCTAGCTCTAGCTCCTCATCTTCATCCTCGTCACTTCCTTCATCGCCAGCTCCACCTCTTTTATCTTCTCTAATCTCAGGATGAAGAGATCTAACCTCTAGCATCGTTTTCAACTCTAGATCTACCTGGAACAGCTCTTCGAATAACCAGGCCGGAATTCCTTCCACCATTGTTCTCCCTTCGCCATCACGCTCAGCCTCTTTGTCTGCCACGTCTTGAGCATCTTTCATGGCAATGAGTTTCTTCAACATCTGTCTGGCATGATGCATTTGAATGCTCCTAGCCTTGCTTTGGTACGTGTTTAGAGTAATTTTGCTGCCGTCGTATGGCATAAATTTTGGTCTATAATGCTCGTCAAAGCTTCGTTTCGTTGTATACATTATGATATGTCTGAAGCTTGAACTCCAATTTTCGATATTCGACATGGTGTAGAAGGTCCCCCATAAGCTCCTGCGAGCATATTCGGCATGTGTGCAGTCACTGATAGCAATTTTAGACACTTTGATGATTTTCATTACTTCGCAGAGTGTGTAAAACGCCTCTGATGTCCACTCCTGTTCCATAACGGGACAGAGTGTGTCTATTTCTGGATTGGAGTAGAAGTTTTGCAAGGGCTCTAAGGGCCAGACGTAGCCTTGATGGTGGGCCAAGTGAGATTCGATATGCTGTAATTTAGCCCACTGTCTCGATCGGCGGAAAATTTGTGAAGCCTTTGAAGGGGGCATGTTGCTGTGGAGCTCGAATGTGTTACCGAGTCTCTTGCATCTAAAAGTAACATTTCGAGGTTCTTGAATCTTGGCTTCGGCCATAACTATGTCGAGTATCTCATTTGGAATGGTGGAGAGATATTTTCGCTCATCAAGACCGCGACCGCGCGAACACACGAATAAAAGAATGGAGATACTGCGCCGTATTACAAAGGAACACGAGGTTATATTCATTATATACGTGCTCCAGGTTGAGAATTGCGACTCCTGGGAATTGAGCGAGACGTTTCCTAAACCGGCCCGATAGATTTCCCTGGATTACATTTTACCGTAATATGCATTGTTACCCAATAACTGCTTCTTCTATAACCATAATTTATTTTGTGACATGAATCTTGACTGTATCTTGGAGTTCTTTGAATTAATATACATTTCTGATACAGCGACATATTTTTGATTTTTCTATGGTGTCCTAAGCGGGAGTTGATGAACTTGCGCAGCTGTCATTGTGTACCATATATACTGCATGATAAAATGTAGCGCCAACGCATGAATCATTCACTTCTTATGAAGTTAATTTTGTGTAACCAAGCTCGACCGTATCCTATCATTTTGGATAAATGTGTTCATCATTTCAGGGTTAGTTTCTGGAATCCTGTCAATACACAAAATCCTTCGAAAACCCCATTTGTTACTGAACTTCCATTTTGCAAAAGCACCTCCTTCAAAGAAGATGAGAAACCAACGAAAACCCATGAAACGTTTGGGACGAGCGCGACCGGCAACCCAACGCCTTCTACCAGATATTACCTCTGATACGACGCCAGCACTTGAAGCTTCTACAAATATGACGGAATCGACTCCTAGTTCGACACAGGATATCGGATACGATAGTTTACCAAACGCGGCAGGGCGAGCTTTGGGCGCTAATTACCCGGTTCGATTTCCATCAATTGTGCCAAATGGTTACGCCCTAGCTCCTGTCTACTTGCGACAGAAATTCCTAGATGGATTCCCCATTTTCAAAGACTTTCCCAGAGAGATTCAACTGATGATCTGGAAACAGGCCGTTGACGTAAATCCACGCAATATTCCAGTTGGAATCATGCCACAGTCAGGCCCAGGAGGATTCAAGTTTCGAATCGATATTCCTATTCCAGAAGGTCCTATGGCGTGCAAAGACTATTACGAGACAGCCAAGAAAGGTTACAGTCTATTGGATGATCGCCTGGAGGCTAACGATATGTCCATAGTGCAACATCTTCCATCTAACTTCTGGTTCAATCCCGCGATTGATAGATTTTGTCCCGTCCAGGAGTGGAGCCCTCACAACTTTGAAGTGGGCCTCAAACTGTTCTTTCAGATCCTTCGTGTTTCGAAAATTGCGATTGATGACTACGTGACCGATGACGCTCACCATATTGGCGAGAAATGGCAGAAATTCTTTCACGTGAAAGGAATCCGTAATTGGAGCCCACATGTCAAAGATATAATTTACTCCATCACATTTCAGCGTTTGAACACAGATGTAGAACTCACCTTCGTACCTAATGATAGACCATCAGACGACCCAGGTAGATTCTATTTCGAGAAACTTGTTCATATCTACAAGCATTGGGACCAAATTCTCGATGCGAAAAGGGGATACAAAAGGTTGGCCCGACTTCAGGCAGACCAGAAGTGGGAAGATGAAATGGCCGAAAAAGTGGGTAAGCCTACAGTCAAGCTCACTGATGTTCCTCAATGGCTATTCGATGTCGAGAGCGATTGGTCACTTGCAAAATCCAGGTTAATGATCGAGACTCGTACCTTTACAGCCCATAAGCTCATAATTCTCCTAATTCTTATGCCACAATGGAGATAGTTACCGATAAAATGACTTTGGCTAGACTTTCTAGGTGTTAGTGCGGTTGGATAATTCGAGTCGATATTATATGATCTCTTCTTTTTCTGGATATTGTGTTTTCAAACGCGGCTGGCTGTACCTGAATTTTTGCGAGTCTATCGGTATGGATATGGTGTGGAGGTGTTCGGTTGGGAAATATAGCCGCGCACGGCGTTTGATGTGGAAATTTGTGCTGGACAGTCCCAAAGAGGGAGTACTTCTAAGGAAGCGTTGAACAATTACAACGACAAGGACCAATTTAAGGATTTACTTGCTTGAAAGTCATATTAGTGAAAAATCATCTGAGCAAATCGTACAAATAATGATAATTGAGATGTCCAATTAAACTGTGAAGATGACATAGCTATGTAATCAATAAACCTTTTTTTGGACCATGATAACTGTAGCGCTGGTAAAGTTTGGATTACTTCTTATTTAATTAGGATTGTTGAACAATTATGAACAGAATGTTCACAAAGAATAAACTTGGATTTTGCTTTTGTTCTATGGAGCTATACATCTACATACTCTACTTCTTGAAGGAAGTAAACGTGCCTCTCGTTTGTTAGAAGTAAAGGTAAAGCATTTCGTAATAAAAATGTTTTCAGTACGATATACACAAAAGGGGTTGTAGATAGCGATCGACTGCTTTAATTAGGAGAAGTTATGAAATATCTCGGTTGAGAAATATGGGTTGTAAAATGGGAGCTATCTCCTCCACTTATAACCATTCTTTGCAACTGCAACTACACATCCAACACAAGTAATTTTTCAGGTGAACTTTGGTAAGAGTGACACAATACCGACATGTGATTTGATCTCTGAGTCTATTCTGTTTTACATCAATGTGAATACAAACAACGCGAGCTCTACCACCCAGTTATTTTTGGAGACTTATGGATCTTTCTGATCACCAGGCTTCAATATGGGATTATTGGATGAAGAGGAAACTTGATCTGCTAATTCTGATCAGTCACACTGATTTTTATGTTTGTAGGTGGTCACTACATGAGGCATTTCATTATAGCTTCCTTTAAGAAAGCACTATCAATCATTTGAAATACATGTTTTTCCTTGATTGGTTCAAACAACCACAGGTGCGTCGGATCTTTAGAATGTCACAGTTTTGGCTGTTTTGTCACCCCTCACTTCTCATTGTATTGCCGAACATTATCACTGAGCCACCATCTCATTACCACTTTCCTCCATCTTCAAACACCCTCAAAGTCACTAAATTTTCAATGATACATTTCTACAAAGTATAATCTGATTGCTGCTGATGAATTTAAGAGCTCAAAATATATTGTGCAGTAAAACTCGACTATACTGGACTGGGATATCCTGGAATCTTGAATGTACTAGAAATTTTTTCCTCATTTGATCACTTTTTTATGTAGCAATACCGGACTTTTAAGCAAAACCGGAGTACTGGATACTTTTTTTTCGAATTTGATATAAATTTGAATAATGAATTCAGCTAAATAAGCTTGATTAGCTACCATCATATAACATTTTTCGAAAATATTGGGATTTAAAACTAAAATCCGATTGAAATATTGACCAAAACGCTTAGGCCACTATATTTTATACCGGAACCTTAGATTTACCGGATTTGAATGGTCGAATTTTTTGTTCCGATATAATCAAGTTTTACTATATAGTTATCGCGAACGGAAGGCACTGTTATACACATCACACGGCCATTTCTCGAGAAATGAGTGAAAATTTTCAGAAAGCATGTCAAAAATCTCAGGATGATGTAAACCATTAATCCCTATGAATCTTTCTTATGTGTCAATTTGCTAAGTAGTGACAGATCATTAGTCACAAAACTTTCCTTGTGTGACCCCTCATTGTCGCTAATTTGACCAATCAACGCTGGTCATAAACTCGCACCGCATTGGCACATTATGAATAATTGGCATACAAACATGTTGTGTTGAGATATTTATTTTATTTGGTAATGATCAATCGTGATGAAATTGCTAAACTAGTACATGAGTGTAATCCTACACCCTCTAACCCAAGCCCCTGGAATCCCCAAAATGATCTTCCGCCAATTCTCCAACCCCTTTCTCCGCGCAGAAAATCTATCTCCTAGAATACGTGACTGTATTGGCTTGATTCGCTGCCATATGCCGTTGCTGTGGTATAGTCCATTTTCCACGGCAGTCAAACAACCACTGTGGACAAGCATCAAGCTTGATGCAATCTCGGCCGAGCTTCTTGTTCTTTTCGTCTTCAAGAAGCTGTTGCTTCAGCACCTTTTGAAGATTCCCAAAAGACGTGTTTTGTCGACGCGAAATCTCATTCTTCGACTTCATAATCTTAGGAGGGTATGCAACCCTACGATCGAATTTAGTTAATTCGATATTGTCATCAGGTTTCACCAGATATCTTGAGGTGTAGATAGTGACCTCTCTGATACTTTCGTGCATCCAGAAAAGGAGACGTTATGGCCGAGAATGTGCCCCATTTATCGCAAGGAATTGATGCGGATCTCTGGAAAGCACAATCATTCAGAGCAATTCGTTCGACCTTCACATCGCGCATCTTCTGGGTCAACGCGTCGCATTGGTCATCAGTCATCGATGTCATAGGACAGATGAGATCGGTCGAAGGATTGATCCAGATGGATGCGGCTGTTCCATTACCCAATGTTGTGACAAGTGGAAATTCTGATTGAGTGTCGAAAACTGGCAGGTAGAGCTGCTTGGCGATGAATCTGGATTCGCGGCTTGCATGAAGGACTCCCGGAATGGAATTGCGGCTTTTGAAAGTATAAAAAGGTAAATCGCCATGACCTTGGGAGAACTCCGCATCCAAAGTTCTTTCGCTCGAGAAAACTGTGACAGTGCGTTCATCTCGGCAAGCCTCTTCCCAGATCAACAGTCGCAATTCTATTAGCAAACGAGCGAATGGGTGGAAAGTGTTCAAGTACTTCTCTAAGAAGCCTAACTGTTTCTGTTGCGAGCCGTTGAAACCCTGTGGAGTTGTTCTGAACATGTTTCTGTTTCGAATAGTTGGGAGTTCAGCTGAGTTTGACAGTTTGATGATATGCGTTCTTAGCAAAGCTCGTGGATTTCGAAGCTCAGGAATCGGTTCAGATGAGGAGATTTATGTGTGATATCTATTTGTTTTTGAAGTAGATTTGTTGTTCTTCAGGAAGTTGGATTTGACTGATATTTTAAAGAAGAGGATGTAATAATCAGAAATTTGAACAGGAAAAAAAAAGATTTTAAGGGAACTTGAACAAGCCAGATACAACCAATCTAACGCGACTAGGATAGCAACAAGATATCGCGGGTTATTGAACATTATAATTAATAAACAGATGAGTCAAAATTCCGTAACTGAGTTGATATATACTTGTTACAACAGCTCGCTTATTACGGTACAACAGCGGTACGAAACCTGGAGAGATGCGATTGTGTGAATCATTGAGTGTAGCCGATGCGCGAGCTTAGGGGGGTTTGGTTTTCCAGGCTGATACTAGCTAGCGCAGGAAGTGTTCCTGACAAAGTTTTCTTTTTTTTAAAAAATCACATACACCTAAGCATGTAGATTATGAAATTCATGAAAAAGAAGAGTTGCAGACATAATTCAAAGATACCTGAATATTTAAATATAAAATTGTTGGCAAGAAGTGTGATACCATCAATGATATAGTGTTTACTAAGATACATCTTACTTAGATGTCATAAAAGCTGCCCTTGACTTATCAAAAATTGCAGACTATCCTCCGTTTTTGATCGTGCATCAGAAGTAAATATAATGACCACTCATTGAGAAATCTTAAACTTTCCTACAATCTGTGATTCCTGAACATCGACTTTCATTGAATCTTGCGAGGATGTCCTCATTCTTTATTAAAAAAGGCTGAAGAGGTATCATTCATACAATAATCCACCCCCAGAATTTCTATCCAAACTCCTTACTAGCTCCAACGCCAATGAAGCAAGAAGTTGTTCCTGGGCCTTTGCCAGTTGTCTGATTCTTTGAAAAGCCATTCGGGGCATTTAGGCAACCTCTGTGCCTGAGTTCCTTCATTGCGCTTATCATGATTCTTTCTGACCTGTAGTGAGTGAGTTGGGGCGAGTTTTCCAATCAAGTCATTAGAACACTCAATTACATGTCAGCAACAAAGTGGTCCTGATGGGGCATAGAATGTGCCTACATCTCTACTATGAAAGAGCTCTGTGGATTGATCATGAATCCAAAGATTTGTAGCCGCAGTGTCCTTTTCAACCCAGTTAGTTTTATGGCCGTCATTTCTTGGGTAGAGGGCACAATTGAAACACCATCTGAAAATATTGAAATGGGGGTAGTGTGTCTATGGCAACCCTCTCTACTTTCAATCTTCTAAGCTTTTCAGAAAATAACTACACATTTGATTTACCGGGCAAACAATATCAGAAGTTGGATTTAGACAGATGCGATGATTCTCTATCTCTGGTGAGTCTACCTTGTTGACATCCTTCTGAGGGGTGAGACCGGCTTCTTAATGTCGTAAAGCTATCTCTCGAGCATTTGCATCGACGTGCATGATGGCTAGGACTGGCTGATTACTTCAGAAGCGAGAAAGCGTCCGGGAATTCAAGGATCTGCTATCGGTTGCAACCTGAAACCATGACTCATGTATCCATACGATACATTCGTTATAACAGGCTTCCTGGATATCATTGACCCAATATCTTCTGTGAATCGCCGACTGAAGGGAATATATTTGTTGGTTGCGCTATCGTGGGTTTTGAAAATACTGTTGTTGATAGACATGTTGACTTCGTTTGATGATTTTTCTTGGGGGTCATTTGATGCACCTTTCGTTCCAATAGCTCTGACCGAGATAGATAGATTGAATGTCGAAAGATTTGAAGATCGATCACAATTTTTATATCGAGAGAGTTCTAATTGGAAGTCAGTCAGTAATGGTAATTTGTAATCCTAGCTTAATAATTGAGTTCTAGAGGATAGGAATTGTCGTTTGAAACTAGATTCAGGTGTGAATTATTGGCGGTAATGTCGTTATCACGTATTTGGAAATTTTATAGAAAGTCGATGTCTTGAAAATCAATGTGCACTTAATTGAGTTAAATAACTATCATCGAGTATATGTCTTTGTATCCACAAGATTTGCTATTTAAATAAAACTCAATCTCGTAATTATCTTTGTCGAGTTTACTTGGAGCAGTGATCAAGTGATTCTTTAATAGCTAAATTGCTTCATTTTCGCTTAAACATAATCGCGCTAGTATCTCGCTAGTTTGTTAACAATAATTCGATTGGTGCTATGGATTGACATATTGAATAGCTGAAGAAAACAGGCAGCTGTACCGTATTTCACGTGATTCTCCAATTGACTCTAATTATCAGTAGAGAAATTTGTTTCACCTGCCATCGTAGTTTACCTAGTTCTGAGGGTAGGCAAGTCCCAGTGTTCACGATTATCGGCTTTACTCAAGGTTAGCTGGTCTATCTTTAATAAATCAATGCTCAAAATTCTTTTCTTCTTCTTACATTTCAGGAGGCTTATAGTTCTTGATTGATAATACGTTCCGGTAACACGCGGGCAGAGGAGGAGGAGGGGGAGCTTATGACTTGATGTTACTATGACTAGTAAATACAGCAAGCTCTGAAATACTCCATTTGCTGCAGCTAATTGAATAAACCAAGAGACACAATTAGAACCTAGGGTTATGAGGTTAAAGTTAATTTGATATACTTAGTACTGATACAGTCACTTTGAATTGATTCGATTGTATGATTATTTAATTGATTTGTACGTTGATAACAAAACATGGGGTCACGAGATACACAATCAAGGCACACGATACATGATACATCAATTGCTATGATTTCATGGAAGTTATCAGAATGGACTCCTGATTTGTGTAGCGAAGAAGATGTAAGATGAAAAGTAGACCTAGAGTTCATAGCTCAAACATCCGCGAAGAATAGAAGTTCTTCGTGTAATCATAACCAAAGAACTAGAGGGCGGTCGAAGCGATATCCATCATCCTAGTTCCATTTCCCAAATCCCGTGCCCATGCAATTTTTGGTAAAATCCGAGTAAATGAGTTCCCCGACTCTCAGTAGAAGCAACCGCATCCCACAGAATGCGCTGTACGACCACTCAAGACGTAAGTTGGCAACCTATATCCTCCATCGAGTATATTGTGCCATTCAACAGTGCACCAATCCAACCAATACTCAATATCTAACCAAATAGTCGCTCATAGCTTCAATCTACAAAGCCGCAGAGCGCACAATCTCAGGTTGAGTCCATGTTTCCCGATGCTTATACAGCCAACTAGGCATATGAACCAATCTTTCACCCGTCGTCTCATCCAATGCATTCTAAGCTCTCTGGAAAGAACTAAGATTCCCAAGCATATCTTCCAATTCTTCGAATCTGCTATCCGCCTCCATAGAAAGCATCATGACCTCCTCTGAATTCTGTTCAAGATTAAGCATAGTCGATTCAACAATTCTAAGAGGTTGACGACGGATATTAATCGGACGCAATGAGATGTAAGCTAGAATCTGGCGAAAATTATGATTCATCCATTTTGGGATGACGACAAAGGTATGCAAATTATTCGTTAATTGGGAACATTGAAATTTGAGAGTATCGATACAGACACGTTCGGTGTTGAAGCGATTGATCATTTGGCTGAATTTCAAGAATTGGAAGACGGTCCAGATGGTATTGCCGTTGCGGACAGGGCAAACGATATCGATACTAGGCGTTAACCAGATACGTGGGATTGGAGATGGATTATCAGAGGTGGGTGTGTAGATTTTAAGCTTTTGGGATTCGCTTCGAGCTTTGTGGGAGACTTGCATGAGGAAAGGAGTCTCGGATGCAAATCGGAATGCGACATCTTCAGTTTTTCGGTCGGTGTTAATGGGCCAGATGGGAACTGCTCGTGGTTCTAGAGATGCGAATTCATATATCTTGATGCGGAGCTCCAGTGGAAGATCCATGAATTGATGGAATGTGTCTAGGTGGGGTTTACGAGAATGCTCTTCGAGATCGATGGTTGAGGGTACGATTGAGTAGTTTGGTCGGGGAGGTGGAGGAGATCGCAGACATTGCTTCTTTCTCGGAGACTGTTGGGTGTAGGCTGCACACAAATTATCTATACCCATAGATTATCTGCAAATAACCCGCTCTACAGATTATCCATCAGAGATTCTACCCACTCCACAGATTATTTATCAAGACTTTAAAACCATCTGCTCTATACAAATAATCTATAGATTATCTATAAATAATCCACCTATCTACAAATAAATGAATTATCCACAAATATATAAATTATCTGCAAATAATTTACAAATTATCTATAAATAATCCGTGGATATATAGATTCTCCGAAAAAAAACGGAGATTCGCTTAAAATATGAAGCTATTCCCAGATTATTTTCTAGCTTAAAAGTAATCCAAGCTTGGATTTATACTAATTTTTATATTAATTATAAAATTTTATCAATAGTATAAAAGATTATAAATAATTATATAATATATAAATAGGTAAATATTCATAAGTAATTGTATCCGCCTTATAGATTATCTATTCAGATTCTGAATTATCTATTCCACAGATGGATTATTTACGGATTATCTATCAAGGTTATTATCCGCCCTACGGGTACTCGTTGCGCAGCCTAGTTGGGTGATGGATGAATCAGAGCTTTCATCCTGTTGCTCGTCGTCAAACGAAGATGAGCCTGCATTAGTGGCATTTGGCATTAAGCTTCTCTTGTGACGACGATTTTACTAAGGTTCGATAAATGTAGGATTTAATGGTGAGACTATCGAATTCCGATAATTGAGAGATAAGTAGTAAGTTAATGTCAGTTGAGTTTGATGTGTTCGTAATGAGAATGAAGGACTTGATTGGGGAGGGGGGAAGCTCTCTTCAAGTAATTATCCCAAAGCACTGAATACTCTTGTCTATGGTCATGATTTGTCAAATTTTCTTACCGTATCACGAACTGATACAGCCATCCGGCTTCTTAGAAACATAAATGTTCATCGTAGACATTTATTTAAAGACGGTAACAACTGTGGCGTTGATTAAGATCGCCAGTCGATGAGAGAACGGTCATTTTCACAGTTCGCGACATTCAGACGTGGTGCCGTGCATACTCTCCAAACTTGCTCTTGTCTGTAATCACATCTGTGAGTCTTTCCGGAAAACGGCGAACTACGCTAGAATATACATAAAACACGGCCATATGTCTGTCACAACCGTAAGTGCGAGGTAGAAACTTGTATCTTGTGGAATAACGCGACATTCAGAAAACTAGTCAATGATTGGAAATATAAGTTTATGAAGCTTGTCACTTCTCAAAAATCAAGCCTCGCGACTGTTCTCTCGCTGAGTGAGATTCTAATTGAGCGTATTACTCCTAAGACTATTAAGACTTGCATATCTACAATATTTGTCGTCTCGCTTGTGTCTTTCGCCTATACAAGTCGTGTTCAGTCCGCTGACCCATGAAGAGGTTGGACCATAACAGAACAAGTAGAACAGCACCCGGTTCAAAGAAGCTTCATATCACATTTCAGTGTCTTAATTCTGATTTAACAATCAAGTAGCTTCACAAGCATTGTATCTTCTCTATATAATAAAAATGGTTCTTTTTAGCAGTGTCAATCATGCTGTGGAGAAATGATAGCATTATTGAGCAGTTGTGTGACTATCACAAGACTATCTTGAATTGAACTAGATCTATCATATATATCCACATTTTCTCGGAACCTTCCCGACGACCCCAATCATCTTGCCTAATTGGCCTAGAAATTGACTCTCTGTTAAAAGATAGTCATATCGAACCACAAATATCACCTTATTGATTGTCCAGTCACAGTCCTTGACTATATCTTGCTCTCGGTATTCCAACTTCCATACTACGCAGCCCGCTTGAACATTCTATTTCCTTCGCATTCCAATTGAAGACGGTCCCAAAGCTGAGGTAGTAGAAGAGACCCTCGAGATTTCAACAGTTAAGTATGAATTGAAATCATAGAACAGAACTTTTTCGAATGAGTGGAAACACCTCTTAGGTCAGTCGTAAACTATTTTGTGGCAGTATCAACTGAACTCAATGGAGTCCAGCCTTGCCAAGTCCATATCTCTTTCTCGCTACCAGGATCACTCGTCCTTCCATATATTACTATACGTCCCAATTGCACTGTCGGCTTTTTCCAAGAACCAACGACGTGATTTCTAAGTGTCACAGGGACGGGTTTACCTTCTGCCAACGCTCGGGTAACTTCTTCGTCAAACCGTTTTTCGTCCTTCTCAAGACTTTCAATATGTGCATCCAACGCCTCTTTCTCCTTATTAACAATTAAATCAACCCCTGTAATGGGCTCAAATTCAATTGTTAGATTCCTCGATTTGAGTCTATCGTAGGATACAAAAGGCTCGTAGTAAAGCAGAAACTCATTGAAACGACGCCCCAGAGACCTTGATATTCCCGGGTCATAATGATCAGAACGAATGGCAACTTTCTGCAACCTTGTGCCACATAGACGTTCATCTGAATTAATCAGGTCGCTGAAGGCACCATATCCATGTGCATTGGTCTGCGCAGCAACAATTCTGTCTGTTTCCCAATTAATATATATCCTCGGCTCACTTATGATGTTCATTCCATAATGTGTATGAATGTTGACTCCGAAATCTAATTGATAAAATTTGAGGCCGATGGCACGAGATTCTCGAGATACATGCAGAATTGAGGGTATGGCAGTAAGAGTTACCCAGCGAGTCACCTGACAGGCGAACTGGCTTCGTTCCTCTTCAAAATGCCCGAGACGTCGGTACCAAATGTCAAGGTTGCGTAGTTGATTGGCAACGAGTTCCCAGATTTTGATTCGTATCTCAACGGGTAGTTTGAGAAATCCAGTGCAATTGGGGGCGACGGGTTCTGGAACAGATGGTGTTTTAATGGTTTGATCCATGGTGAATTGAATACTGATGAGTGCTTGATGTACAAGGCTAGCGGATCAAATGTGAATTCAAGTATATGCGATGTTCCAAGAAAACGATATATTCTAAGTCGATCCACATATATTGAGAGCTCCACTATAGAGCTACAGTTCCAACTATTGAAAAGCCTGATTGATAGAAAATCGAATGAGAGTCTTAGATGATGTATGTTCCCTGATGCATTGACGAGCTCTTAGACAGGTGCGACTGAACGAAGTATTATCCCTTCGCTTTCTTTGGTCCTGTTTCGAGTATAACAGGTTTGAGGTATTGATCCTATCGATTTGATATTTCAGAGAAGAATAATCTGTTCTCAAGCAGAAATTTTGAAAACGAGATAGCAGTGCCAAGAGGTGATTCCAAGATGTTCTTGTCTTGACTAATCGGAGGCTCGGAGGACCGCAGAATCTGGAACCACTCATTGCTGACCCCACATTCACAACCTCCACACTACCGAGACTACCGAGACTACCTATTTGAGTATATCTTCGATGTCAAGAAATGTTATGAAGTATTTAAGTATTCAGATTGGAAGAGATCATGCAGTTTTCATATCGAAATCGAGTCGGAGGGATTGCGTAAGGTACTTAGTTACTAGTACCTCGATAGCTCCAATATTGACAATGAATTCGCAATTATTGAGTATCAACAGTTACACTCAATTTCTTAACTAGCTTCTAAAACATAACTTTTCTATATCTTATTATAAATATCTAAATATTATTTTCGATATTTTAATTTACAATAACTTCTTTAATTAAGCTTTAATTTAAATAAAAATAATATTATAATTTAAAGAATAATCAATATTATTATTTATTTAATTTTCATTCAATTCTAGATTATATTAATTGAAATAGAAATTTGAAAATAAAAATAAAAATCTAAAAATTAAAAGGTTTATTTGAAAGCTGATTATAGAAACCCTTGATATATTGAGTCATTTTAAATTATTTATTAAATTATTAATATATATTAGGGCTCAGTAGTAGAGAATATACCGGGAAGGGATCAAGAATCTTAATTAGAGATTATATAAGAAAATATATTGAATTATAATTAAAACTAATCTTATATTTTGGTTAGTTTAAAGTATATTTAATTATTTATAAATTATTCTCCTTAAGTTTTAATATTATACATTCCTAATATTCTTTTCTATTATATTATAATATATTATTCTTTTATAAATCAAATCAATAATTCTTAGATTAAATTTTATTAATGCTCATTTTTTAGTAATTATTCCTGAAATTGAATTCTTATTAATATCAACTTCCTACTGATTGTTAAGTAATTAGTTCTTAGTTAGTTTGAGATTTTTTTAGCTAATTAATAATATTCTGCGCTAATATAATACCTTTTTTTATACCTTTTATTCTGAAGATATAAGTCTTAATGAAGGATTATGAGAAATTGTTTTATATTTGTAAATTGTAAGCCAAAATACTTTCAAGAATTATATTAACAATTTATATTATAATTTATAAGTGTGTTTATTATAGTATTTATTGTTTATATTCTTTAACGATATTATTATTAGGGTTATGTATAATTGTTGTGGTAGCTTCCTATAGCGTGATAACAGTCTTCCTTTATTAATGTTTTTCCTTTATTATAAGTTCTCTTTATATAGAGGATAAAGTTGTTGTATTTCCTCTTCTTCTTTTTCTAACTTCTTTTTTATTAATATAATTAATATTAATTCTATTTAACTCCTAGTATTATTCCAGTTTATAGCAATTATGAATCTCTCTACTTACAACTATTGTCTTTATTATATTAAGCTTTTATTCCTAAAATTTAATTACCTCTATATTTCAGATCCAAATTATATCTATATCTATTATATAGTATAAAAAGCATTTTATAATAAGATAAGATTCTTTATCCTTTTTTTCCCTTTTTTTATACTAACTAATTATTATAATAATTCCAATATAGATTCCCTTCTTTTTGATACCTTATATTCGAAATATTATTATGATTATTAATATATTTAATAATTAGGTGGATATAAATAACAACCTTCCGAATACATCCCCTTCATTAGCTATTCTTGATCCAAATATAGTATACAAAAATAATTAGAGAATAGTTCGTTTAATTAATTTTTATATTAACAATTGTTCTTTTTATATTTCTATTAGTAGATATTTCCCTAAATAAATGGATAAAAACTAAAGATTTCTTACAGTCATTTCATCTAAGTATTATAACCTTTATATAATTTTTTAGGATTTCCTTTGTAAACTTCGTATTATTACTACATTGATATAGGCTCTAGTCAGAAGTGTTATTACTTTTAAGGTTATATTATTGAATTATATAAATATCCTTATTAAAGAATTATAAGTACAAAATACTTAATCTTATTAAAATATAAGTCCCCCTTTTATTTTAAAATTATTTCTTAGATTATATTAACTTATTCCTTTCTAAATCAATATATCTTATAATATTAAAACCCTTTTTATTCAAAAGGTTTTAATATATTTTATTAAGAATTAGATTTATATTCTAATAAAGATTGTTTTTTAGTTTTTCTGAGATCTACTTCTCTTATATTTAACAAATACAATACTATCTTGAAGATATTTTTGGTTATATTTTTTCAAAATTTAGAAATACATTTTTTAAATTTAGAAATACTAACAATTATATATTATAATCTTCAAATCATCCCTATCATTTTATAAGATATTTATTTCCTGCTTTCTTATTTTTATGAACCATAATTCTTTCCATCTTTTGTTTTTATATATTTTTATCCTTTAGTTTTGAGTATTCCTCAATGAAATAACTAATAGAATTCATTTCCTTAAACCTTTTATACTTTTTTAATAAAGATATGTGGAATATATTATATAGTTTTTTATATAGGCTAAACAATTCTAATTTATAGGTATATTCTTTTATAATATCTAATATCTTAAATAATTTAATCATTCTTGAATTTAACTTTTTTTTTCTTTTTTTTTTAAATTTCTTTAATCCAAATTTGGATATTCTTTATTAAAAATAATATTTAATCTTTTATAACGAAATATATTTATTTATACTTTTTATTATAATATTTTTATTATTTTTCCTATACCTTTATTTATAATACTCTAAGGTTCTTTTAAAGTTTCTTTAATCCTTTAATTCTTTGTTTAGTACTTAATATCTCCCTTAATGAATCCATAACCTTAGGATTCCAGAGTAGCTTCGGGTTATATTTATAGTATAAATAAAACAATGAACAATTTAGACTAAAGTATATTAAATTGTTATAGATAAATTTAGCTATAGATAGCTTAGTTCCTTACCTTTCTTACTTCTTATTAATATATACTTTAAAATAATACTTTAGTATTTAGTTTTGTCTTTTTATCTATTCATTTATTTATAAGTAAAATGTAATACTAAGCTAACACTTTACCTTTAAAAAGAAATAAAAGGTTGATTAGAAATTACTAATAAATACTATATCTTTATTTAACATAATACCTTTAGGGATATTAAATTTAAAGAATACTTCAAATTATATTAGAAATACTAGCTTGATAGTATTAATGGTCTTATAGTAAGGTATATAACAGGTCATTTTTATGAATCTGTTTACTATTACGAGAATACGGTTGAAGAGCTGTTTATTATCCTTATCATTATCTATAAATAATAGTTCTATTATAAAATCTATAAAGATTTCAATTTATAATCGAATTAACTATAACAAACTATCTAATTCTTTATAAGGTTTATAATATCTTAATTTATTTTTTTAATATAAATTATACTTATTTATATATATTGTAATATTGTCTTATAAACTATCTTATATATAATTTCTTTTTAACAAATCTATAGTTTTATTTCTTCCAAAATATTCTACTAGTAGATTATTATAATATAACCGGAATAATTCCGCTCTTAATATAACATTCCTAAAAATTAAAACTAAATTATCTTTATACATTATATTATTTTTTAAAATGTATTTCCCTTAACTATCTTGAATTGCCCTTATCCGAATATATTTAGGGTTTACTTTTTAAACATTTTAGATTACTTTTAATAATATTTCTATTCTAATCTTATAAGCAATCATAATTGCTATAGCTATTTTTGACTATATCCTTGGTATATTGAGTATATTGTATATTAAATCTTGTAAATTATAATTGATATAATTCTAAATCAATTCCTCCTCCATTTCCTATAGTGGACCAGGATAAGCTGTAATATTAATATATTTCCGTTCTACCTCCATACTATTACTAATAGCCCCTTTAGGCCCCGGACTTTTAATATAATCTTTTACATAATTAACAACCTTACTTAAGATTCATTAAGTTATTGCCCTAATGAATTTCATTATTCCTAATTCTTTATTAAATTGATTCTGCATTTTATTAATGATTCAGATTATTAGGCTTCCCTTTATTTTCTCCTGAAATGTTGAGAGTTAGATTATATCTTTATTTTTATTATTATTTATATAGTTTAGCCTTTGATTCGGTTTGTTCGCAAAATTAATAAAGCCTTTTCGATAATATATATTAAAGTTATATTATAATAGATATATAGTATACCTTATTTATTTTTGGCCAAGCTATTATACTAAAGTGAAATACTTAAGGTTGTTATGATTTATAATTATTTTGATAATAAATCAGGCCCCTTTCAAATATGTCCTTTATTTCTTAAAGCATTCTATTATAACTAATTACTCCTATTTGTAGATTATATACTGATATTCTATTAATTATATCTTTCTTAATTAAAATGTTATTAAGTATTAATATATTTATATATTATCTCCTTTCGAATTATATTGTTATAATATTACCTCTCTTAAAGCTTTTCTAAAAATATCCATTTTCATCCTTAAAAATAAATTAAAATCGAAATGCTAGAGCATTAGAGCTTTTTGAAATCTCTTTTTTAATATTATAAAACTAATTAATATTATAATAATTAATTCGAA